CCACTTTCAATACCTACACTCCAGAAGTGACTCAGTTTTTTGTTGTGACAGACATTATCTTGCAACAGTGTTCCAGTCTGCACATACTCTGGAATTCAACAGGGCTATTATAATTTGAGATACCTCACATGTCCTGTTTTTTTCTTTTGCTCTTTTTCAGATCAATCTTTTCCTCTTCACTCCTGTCTTGCTTCTTTTCCCCTTCCATATATCCTGCGATCCATCATCATCATCATCATCATCATCATTGTCTATGTACAACTCCATCACTTCTGCACCACAGTGTTTCTGCTATTTTCCTGCTTGATCACCTCCTCTTCCTCATCCTATCCTGCAATTACACTAAAGTTAGTGTTTCAGCTTGCCTTCCTGTTGCCAACAAAGCATCTCCTCTCTTTGTCGGGGCCTCACGTTGGAGAGGGAGGCTGGCCTCCAAGTTCATTGTGCATTCGTTAGCGTTTGCCTGCCACAACTTAACGACTCAACTCTCTAAACTACCATATGTGTGTTTGTGGATATGTGAGAAAAATAAGTCAGGCTCCGAAAGAGACGTATATTCTTTAAAAATTGCAACATGTAAGAAATGTTCCTTCATTATCATCAGATCTGCAGAAGCTTTGGCTCATGCATTGCAGAAATCTAAACATCTACTGTTTCCAATCTCAGAAGTCTCTCTTTACATTCAAAATATTCCTCAAGTAAAAGTGAAAAGTGCAGTAAAACCACTCCCATAAGTTTTATTTCTTCAAAAAGTTTCTCAAATAAATGTTACTTTGACATCACATTGCAAAAAATAAAAACAAATATTTTTCATCATCCATAAAAAACACACAATGGTAATATATAAAAAAAAATCACAGATATTATATTACATTTGTAAAAACATAATATACTTGACAGCCTGTCATCTGCATTCAGCAGCATTATTCAACTTCCTCGGCTTGTTCTAGAAAAATCTGTGTACAAGTTTTTCTCTTTTGTTGGCTCGCTGCCATGACTCTTGCACACACTAATGCCCGTGTTGCATTTAGAGGCGATTTGGAAAAAAACATTTTATGACATGTGAACAATGGACTAAACAGTTGTAATAGCTGAAAAAAATGTAAACAGAAGATACAGGAAGTGTGGGAACCCCGTTAAATCAAAATAGGAGTAAAGAGAAAGTTAGCCATTCAGAGGTGAAAAAAATAAAACCCAAATAAAATAAACAGTCATTCTTTAAGGTTAATCTTTGGGGTGAGAGTGTGGCATACCAAAACTGTACAGGGGCTCATGTGAACCAGCTCTTACTGTAAGACTTTTGTCACATGTCTACCGTATCATTTTTGGCCTTTCGTCATTGGAAACTTTCTATTTTGAAAGAAAACCTCAGATTCTCTATCTGATTTAGGTCTGAATTGTGTCTCAATTGTGCCTGAGGCATGACTGTGTTCTGACCCGGCCCATTGCACTGTAGCTCAGACAATAACTTAAGGGTCATCATCATCAAGCTGCCGAAATGGGTTTTCTCCATAGGAGAAGAGATAGGGTGAGAAGCTAAGTCATGTGGGAGGTACACAGCATAAAGTGTTTCGGGCACATCCCACTGGGAAGAGGCCCCGGGGAAGACCCAAGACACGCTGGAGGGACTATGTCTCTCGGCTGGCCTGGGAACGCCTTGGGGTTCCCCCGGAAGAGCTGGAAGAAGTGGCTGGGGAGACGGAAGTCTGGGCCTCCCTTCTGAAGCTGCTACCCCCGCGACCCGACCCTGAATAAACGGAAGGAAATGGATGGATGGATCATCCTTGTGGAATATAAACATATCCCCATCAACTCTAAGGAACCTCTATGTCTCTTTCTGAAGAAGAGCATCCCGCAGCATGATTCCATTACCATCGTGTTTCACTGTGGGAGTTTTTTGCCACACAGGTAAAGAGATTGAATTCTGCTGTCATCCCAGAGCCATGTCTCCTCCATTGCGAGAGGCCTATTTTTATAAAGGTTTCTCTTTTGTTACGTTTGTTGTTGTATTGACCTTTTCCTCCACTTGAATGGCGGTTCTCTCCAGACTTCCCCACAGTCCTTTAGGTTGCTTCTCTCATTAATGCTTTCCTTGTCCTCCCTGTCGGGTTAGGTGGCTAGGTTTGTTTTTGTGCCATACTTCTACCGCTGCCAGAGGATCAATTGAACGGTACTCAGTGCAAACATTAGATACATTGGTATTTAGAATAAAAGCTGTGCTGCTAATGGTTTGGTCGACTGGGTTGTCTGATATTTGGCATACCGTAGTAGCTTGGAGATCTGTTCAGAGAGATCTCCTGGATCAGAAGCCCAGATAAATATTCCCCATTGTGGCCCTATTGAGCTGTTGTCACGATTTCTGTGTTAAGCTAATTGTAAACAAGACTCGTCAGTTCATTAGGGTAGGTAATGACGTAAAATATGAGGTGTTCCCTGTGGCAACTTGACATGTAGCCACAGGAGAGAATTACTGGTGGTCACTTGACAGAAGGCGGCTCTCTTAGAGTGCCTCTCTTGTTTTCTAATTGAGGATGCTTTCAATCTGTCACTTCACAGGCGACGAGCCAGCAGAGGCGTTTCAAGTAGAATGGATCTTACTTAACATTTTTGTTTGCATTTTGAATGCAAAGTTAGATGTAATTAAGGGAGGGAAAACAGCTTTAACCGCATAACTACTCTGTTTTAAGCCTTTTGTGTCTTAGCAAGACACAAAAGGCTTAATTCCTCCAGGCCATTTCTCACATACCTTAAAAAAGCAGATTAATTGAATTTATGTAGCTGTTAAAAGTTGCGCCAATAATCCATGGCAAAATCTCTGTTGTGTTTGTTGGATTCATTTGAAATGATCAAAGTTGAATTTAGATTGATTTTCCATCTTCCTCTCACTTCTGCATTTTCAGAAGGTGAAATGAAGTCTGATACTAAACACATTGGCAAATTTTAAAAATTGAATATTATTTTAGTCATCAATATCATACATAGAACTAAAACATTTATTTTATTTATTGGAGAATCAAAAAATATCAACCATAAATAATTTACTCCACTAACAGATAAATAGAAGCCAATCGTTTATCAGAATTACAGTTTTTTCTGGTTCATTAAAACAAAGCTGAGATAAAAGTGTGATGATATCACAGCTCTAACCCGATCTGATCTGTATATAGTTAATGTTGTACATTTCTGCCGTGACTTCTTTCAGCTCCCTGGTTCAAGCTTCAAAACTAGGTTGAGCCAGTTATTTTCTTCCTCACAACTGACCTAAATACCTAAATGCTTTCAGTGGCAAACTGAGAAAAATACGGCCACTAAGCAGCTGTGTGAAAACCAACCTTTCTCAAGAAGCCCATCTTTTTTTGTTGTTGTTGTTTGTTATTTTGTCTGACAAGTAGAGATAATATTTCCTGTGGAAGACAAGTACGCTTCTGCTAGTCAGTTGCATTAAAGTCAAGATATGTTGCGTCCTGGATTTCTCCTCATATTGAATGAAGAGGAACATCTTCTTGCTGTAGGTTTAAATGTCCCGCCATAGCCGCCATAGCTGCTTCCACAGGATTAGTGCTCTACATACTTGACCTGTTTTCCTGGCGACACCATTGACCTTTGGGTGATACTTCCAGTACTGTAAAAACCTAGTTGTCTGCTTAAAGATTTTTTGTAGCACATAAAAGTTATACGTTTTTTAATATTTTGTAGGCAGAATCAGCATAAGTAAAAAAAAAAACTTTTTTAAAATTTTTATTTCATTTAGTAAGTGTAAATGTGTACCCAAACCAATATGGTTCTGTGTGAAAACATAATTCTCCCTTGAGCTCAATAACTGGTTAGCAATGAGAACTGATATTAAGTGTTTGTGATTACTGGCAATAAGTCTTTAACATCACTGTAACAATTGTAACTCACTCTTCTTTGCAGATTTGTGTCAAATCAGGCATGTTGTTGGATTTCTGAGCATTACAGACACCTGTCAAAAGTGTTTCCATTAAATTCAAGGAGACACTTTGTATGTCCTTGAAAACGTTTGTTTATTTTATCAGTTCATATGTGAACTTGCTGGTGGGCTGGCTGGATAACTTTTTTTTTTCCTTTTCAAAAATGAAATCATCATTTTAAAACTGCTTTATTTGGTGGCAGTGTTACAGTGCCACCGATTGGCATGACATACCAGCTACGCTTTCAGTGGAATCCTGCAGCCTGTTGTGTGGACCCACATTTTTTCTTAATCGCTCACAGAATTTTACCATGTTTGTCTACGAGTCGCTGGGAAAGTTTGTAATCACGTTGTGGCAAAATGCTTAACATTTTAAGGGGTAAAAATGCTTTTGTGAATATTATTTGTCACTAATTTGGAATGTGCTTGTCAGTGCTTTGGTTCAGAGTTGTTCCACACTGTTCCTGTTCCAGAAGGCTCCTTTCTGTTTCTGTGTAAGCTGATGAGCTTCAGTTTGGAACTCCTTATGCTGACGGTGTCAAAAGTGACCTCTAGGCAGAACTTTGTATCAAAAAAATTACACTGTACTGCTCAGATTTTCAGAGCTCTTGAAACCTGAAGTTTTTCCGTCACATCTCTAAATCCACATGCAAACAGCTTCAACATCTATACTGAAAAAAGAAAATAAATGTTCCAATTTAAAGAAATTGCTTTGAGTAGTAACAATTCATTTCAGTTTAACTATTTATTATAGTTCCTTTAACATGACGACTTAATAACTTAACTTAACATTCAATTACTTGTAACTAGTTGAAATACTTTTTTTTCTTTTTTTAGTGTGTTTGAAAATATTTTTAATCGATTAATAAAATTCTCTTACATTTCATTTGAACGCGTTTGCTGGAAAGGGACGTGTAAATCATTCTATACTCATCAATATATGAGTATAGCCTGGCAAACTAAAAACAAAAACATTGTCCTTTTTGTTCGAGGTCCAGATGCTCCATCCCTGAATCTCGACACACCTCTCCCATCAACCTACCTGAGTCAATGTTTGGGACTGTCACGCATGCGCACCTCCTCCTCCCCCGTCATCTGCGCGATATTATAAGTGCGGCCGGCAGCGTAAAACGTGGTTCAGTCTACAGTATCTGAACCGGACCGAGGGGGAAGAGGAAGACAGAGAGGGAGCGATGGATGACAAAAAGAAAAGGAAGAAGGATGAAAACGTCAAAAGTGATGACAAAGTCACGCTGAAGAAGGAAATCGGACTCCTGAGCGCCTGCGCTATTATCATCGGTGAGTGCGCGCGACAGCAGTGGAAGATGAGCTGCCAGGTTGTGGAGGGGAAGGAAACGGAGAAACGTGTTTGAGGCGCCGGCTCAGTCATGACACGGCATCCCCCAACGCTCAGCTGCCCAAAAGTTACTCACAGCGGGGTGTTCCGGCTCAAATTGATCTCATTTCCTCAAACTTGGACGCGAAACCGAGTAAAAATGAATAAACAATCTCACGGAAAAGTCGTTTGAGCGCGCGCCAGCTGCAAGGGGCAGGCTCTGAGCACAAAGGTAGTTTTTTTTTTTAGTGGAAACTGTTGCATCAGTCGTGAGGGTCTGAATGTGAGGATGCTTACGTGGCCGGGCAGTGTGGTGAAGTTGGGAGGCTCGGTTCTGTGGGACAACTTGAGCACCGAGGCTGTGCAGCAGTCCGCCCTGTAATATACAAACCAGCCACTCTCACAGACGATTTAACATGTACAGTAAGCGGCCCACGTACACAGTGGTGCTTTGAAACACACAGATTGCTCTGCTGTTTAATGTCCCGAGCTCCACTGAGCTGCTGGTTACTAGCCTGGGGTCAGAGGGAGGACTCAGATGCCTTAATAACATTTTTCAGTTCTAAATGCTATCACTTCTGCTTCATTTGGGACAGAGATGCACCAACTGGCTGACCAGGTAGTAAAACACTAAATTTTTTAAAAATAATTTTCTAATGCGTACATCAAAGCAATTAAGTACTGCTGTTTTTTTAGTGTATAAATGCATCAACTCAGCATATACTTTAATGCAGTGGCCAAACTGATTTTATGCGGCCCACAACTCCAATTCAAGAAAATACAAATCTGCCAGCCTGCTGCACAGGTAGAGATGATGCAGATAAACAAAAAATATTAAACATTTTCGGTCAGGACAAACGTATAACAAACTAATTGAAATTTTGCAACAGAAAATCCTGGCTCCAGCACAACGTGACGGCCACATCCATCAGCAGGCTTTGATTCTTTTAATGAATTTATTCAACTTGGCTACATACTCTTCAATAAAAGTGATATAAATCTTGCTTTTATTGCCCAGAACTGAAAAAAAATATATATATATTATTTTGAGTCGAGAAATTTAAAAATTCAAAAAGTGGAGCCCTCTCTTTTAACGAGGCAAATCTGCAAAACTCGTTTAACGTTTTTTTAGCTCTAGAATAATTTACACATCCCTTTACAACAAAAGAAAATTGACTATTTTACTTATTTAAAGTAGTGCATTTGATTACATACTTTTATAGTAATAATTTCACATAAATATAAATGTTCATACAAACTTTCAAATAGAATAGCCATGTTTTTTATCAATACAAAACACTGTGTTTATTGCCTATATAGGTTTGCATTAGCAGTACTATGTTGCAGAAATCTAAAAATCTAATGTTTCCAAAAAAAAAGGCTAAAGTGGTTAAAATAAAACTCTGTAAAGATGCGATTAATTGTCAACATAATTAGAATAACTAATTTGCCTCTATCGTGTCAGATCAACATTGTGGAAGTTGAGTTTTGTTTTCTCAGTCATGAAGAGTTGTGATCAACAAGAATACTTATTTAGTAGTGATGCAGTCTTGTAAAGATGAGAGATGCATTGCTCGGGATTTTAGTGGCCGGTGTGTGTGGTGCAATTGGCTTTTGGGTCTCTGGGTTATCGATTGGCTTTCTCCGTAGCCTAAGTCAGAACGGTTCCTGTTGATGAATACAATCTAAAGCGAATTGTAGTTTGTCCTTTTTTTTAGTTGTCCAAAAAAAATCCTTCATCAGAATGGCTGTTTGGTCTGAATTGTAATCTTAGTAGAGTAAAGTGAATGTTCTCTTTAAAAACACTGCAGAGTGGGTGAACATGAGCTGCTTGAGTCATATTGCCACCCACTACCATCAACCTACTCATGAACCGACTGCATTATTCTTGAAATGTGTTGTACTGACTTGGTCTAGAATGGTACTACTACTATTAATAGTACTACTAACAGTAGTACTATTAGTACTAGTAATACTGCTGTTTGACAAAACCACCCAATGAAAATATCAATTCTTACTGAAACAAGAATTAAAACAAAATAAATTAAAAATCCTTCAGTTCCTTTTTTTCTTTTGGTGGTGTAGTGATGTAAACCAGAAACCTACTCGGCTTTTTCACTTTCTGCAGCCCAAATCTTCTCTGCTCTCACATTTGAGTTGTGAGACAGTGAATGGTGAAACTTGCGTCTTGCTCCATCAAGAATACATAAATACTTCTAACTTCCCCTGTTTCTAGTTTTCTTTTTTCAAAACAAAAATCCACATTTCAGTCCTACAGTGGGTGGAACCACCTCACATCAGTTACTGCAAAAGTTCACACACAGATGGAACAATTAGTCAGCTAACGACAGTGCACTGATAAAGTATTCAAACTTAATCATTTGGGGTTTTTTGTATATTTTTGTACAAGTTTTGCTGGAGGACAAATAACCTTTTTGTATGTGCCGCTCCCATCCCGGACATTTGTATTTAAAGGAAAATTTGGGCATTTATTCAAGACTCTTATTTGGAAGAATTCATATTAAAGTGTGTCCATATTCAGAGGATCCACTGAATTGTATGAAGCTTGTGTGTAGGAATGATTTATATAACAGCACTAACATCGGCATTGGCTGATATTGTTCATTTTTAAACATATCAGTATTATAAATCAATAATATATAAATAAATCTGAGCCGATGTCAACAACCAACATTTGTATCTGTTGAAATTTGGGCCAATCAACATCGGTCCAAATTTCCATATTTGCGCATCACAAATTTTGAACACTTGTTAGGTGACTTCTAAAGCCACTTGGCAGCACTGGGGTTTATTTGGGGGCGTCAGAGTAAAAGAGGATGATTACAATAATTGCTCTGTAATTCTGACCTGCTGGGAAAAAATAGTATCCCCACAGCATAATACTACCTCAACCATGTACCATAATCAGGATGATGCGCAGCGTTTTTATAAAATTGCTCAGAAGTGATTTTACCCTGGAGGACAGATTGGAGGATAACCTTCGCTATAATCTGGTACACTGGATCAAAGGGTGACATATATGTTTCAGTTGCATATTATCCATTTTAAGTAAAGTTGACAATCATTTTTTAACATCAACATATGAAAAACTCAGTTCTTTCTGCACTATTTAACGTGAGTTGGGCTTATCTGTTCATTTTTTGGGTTAACCATTTAATAATTGGATAGCAAAAGGTACTTGATATAAAAAAATTTTACAGAATTTGAACCAGGCACAGCTATAACTAGCCCACATGAAGACTTCTGGTTAGTACATATTTACTGTCAAAGAAGATTTTGTTTTGATCTTAAATTTAAAATGTATACATATTTTTTGTGTGCAGTCTTGGCTTAATCACTGCTCTGAGTGTGTTGTTAGGCCAACTCAAAAAGGTCTGCCTTTTTTGAGTCCGTATACTCTAAACAATCAATCCTTTACTAAATTAGTTGACAATGAATCAACAATTAATCACAATTATTCCAATTAATCACTTCAGCCGTATTGCTATTGAAAGGGTATTTCAGATCTCTCCTAACAGTTCAGCTTTGTATACAACAGTGGTGGTAAATTTTCAAAGAAGCCAAATGAGAACCACAGAGACGGGACAAAACCCAGCACTGCTTTCACAGAAACGATTCAGTTTTTCTCCATCGAGAAAAGATTCTCGTGAAGTCATGTATCTGAACTGTAATTATTGAAATAATTTTACAACTGAGATACAGGTAGACATCGACAGACCCCCTGATTCCTGCATTCAGCTTAGATGCTGAACTTCCTGACATAACAAACGCGACAAAGGCTTTATGTAACAGCTCTGCATCTCAACGCGGTCTCCTCCATCAAGTGAGGAGACAATGACAAATGCACATCCTGGTCCTCCTCTCTTGCTCTGCTTCATTAGGGAGCATTCAGAGCAACAGCACGCCTCACTTGGCTTCAACAGCCGCAATGTTTACCCTCAGCAGAGTCACACTTTTTAGGCCCAAACTTACCCCAAGGAAGGGGGAAAACAAGGAGGCCAGTGCAAAAACACCACTTGTTTGGACAGCTGTCGTTTGTTTTGTTACTTTGTAGCATGAAGTAGTTTTCTTTTGTTTCGTGTTTTATCTTTTGGAGAGACTGATGATGTCATACAAGCCAAGCTACAGTTGAACTCATAACATGTTGGTCAAGTGAGGGAGCCCTTGGTTTGTCTTGTGTGGGGGTCAGTGGAGCTCAGACTCCAGCTCAGAGTTGACCTAATAGCAACGACAACAGCACTGCTCTCTCCTAAAGCTCATTTGCAAACACAGATAGCAAGATGGATTATTTACAGCCACAAGTACAAACTCAAACAAGAGAGCTCTTTGTTTTTGTTCATCAGCGTCTCCATTGCAGGAAATTGTAAAAGACGCAGTGTCCAAAGATCATCACAGTTCGAACCCGTTCTCTTCAGTAGAATCACGTTGCCTGTCAATTAAAGGTAGCCGGAGTTGGACTTGGTGGGAAGTTCCACTTTTCTTTTTTGCTATGACAGGGAAGTGGAACACAGCATTTGTTGACTCGCATTCTTATAGTTTCTGACATTTAAAATAGAAGAGGTGTCTAAACTGCAGAGTAAAGGCTTAGATGCTGAGCACAGCAAATGTAGACTCAGCACAGAGCCAAAACAAAGCTGCAACGCGTTCATATTGGAACTAACGGCGTCATCCTCAAACTGTTCCCACAAGGTTGGGAGCATAAAAGTGACCAAAACGATTTGGTTTACTGAAACACTAAGAGTTCCTATCATTAGAGCTAAGCAGCCGAGCCCAGCTGTTTAAAAACGGCTCTAGACCGTAATCTCCTCTACACAGAAAGTTTGCGACCTCTACATACTTGGCAACTCAACTACTATTGACCCTGTTCTGTGATCTTGTGGCCTACTACTCTGTGGACGAGTTGAGTCATTCCCTGTTTCCCTTCTACTTAATCATACCACTGATGGCTGAGTGTGGAATAATGAGGAAACTTTACATCTGGTTGGCAACAAATGTACAATAGATACAGTCTAACATAATACTGCCCCTTTAAGTTTTTTCTGCATATCACAGAACTTCTTAGTTTTTTTTTAAAGGAAACAACATTGGAAACATATTCTATTGCGACTACAACAGCTTAAAATCTCTTGGTTTCTGGCATCACAATCAACGAGTTGTGAATTAGCTCACTACCTGACTTCTACTGAATTATAAAAACAACAACTAACATTGTTAACTCTATCCATGAAGGGAACATCATTGGCTCGGGGATCTTCATCTCGCCTAAAGGAGTGCTGGAGCATGCAGGCTCGGTGGGACTGTCGCTCATCGTCTGGGTTTGCGGAGGAGGGATCTGCGCTCTTGGGTCGTTGTGCTACGCTGAACTCGGTGTCACAATCCCAAAGTCTGGAGGAGACTATTCGTATGTGACTGAGATCTTTGGAGGGCTTGTAGGGTAAGTAGAACGTATTGGCAACTTGCATCTTTTTGTAAATGCTGCATCTCAGCCTTTGATGGGTTTAGTTTAGGAAACTGAAGACCGGGGGGTCCAAAGTCGGGCCTGGACTTTGTCTGATCCGGATGGAGTAAAGGGCCGGCATCCTGCACGTCTTAGTTCTCTCCCTGGTGGTAGTAACAACCTTTTCAGCATGTCAGTGTTTCATTGGATCCAGGTGCATTAAACCAGGGAGAGATGCCAGTCCTCCAGGATCCACTTTGGGCTTCCCTGGAGTGTTGCTTTTCGCGTAAAAGCAATACTCCAGTCGAGGGTCTAGATTTTCCAAGTTTTTATTTTTCACTCAAGTATTTTGCTCTCTGAGATAGAAAATATGATGCAGGGAAGACAAAAGTACCTTTTCAATGGTATAAAAGTATTAATCATTATGGCATCACAACGTTGAGTTATAATAGATTTGTCAAACTCTGCATTGATCATTCAACACGGCTTTGCAACCTCAAAATATTGAGGGCACAAACTATTGAAAAATTAGTACTTGAGCCTTCAGAAGAATGCAAAATGATAAACTCTGAGAGATGTAAAGTCTATGTATCCCAGTATTTTTCCTTAAGTTTCAAAAAATAAGATATTCTTCTGATATATTACTTTTTAAAACTGGACAAAATCAATGTTTCTACAGCAGTTCATGCTCAATTCAATAAATATAGCTAAACTGGAATTCAGAAAAATTAAAGCAGGAAAAAGTGGAACGCTGCTTGATCCTGCCATCGTTTACTACTGGACTTACTGCATCATGCTTCTTCTGATGTAGAATTATGACATGTGTTTCATCTCAATAATGTAAAAGTTATATTAAATGTGCAGGTCACTCGAGCTACCTATGCTATTCTTTTTCCAGGGATGATGTTTAAGGAAATTTGATCTTGTAGGACACACTCTTCTAAAGAGCCTTGACTTCTGCTTTTTCCTGAAAGATTGTGTATTCGCAACATTGTTGCCCAACAAGTATTTCAAACTTTCTGGTGTAGCCTGGCTTTGAAAAAAATGGTGTCAGGAAAACAACAGCAACTTCAATGTTTTGACTTCTCTAAGTGCAGATTGGTCCTGAAAGCATACTTGCATTTTTTACATATTTTTCAGCTTTTAACAAGCCTGAGTCAGAGGATTGGTGTTCAGTAAAATCCTGGTAATCAGTCATCAATTTAAATCAGTTGAGCTGAAGCAGGGAAACACCCTGGCAGTGGCTTGAGGACCATCGTTGGGAAACAAAGTAGACTCCTTTGAGGCCTTTCAGATCATGTGACTTGTGTGGAAAAAGGTACTTTGCAGTTTTGTGATATTTTGATATAGCCAATAAAGCTCCTTGTTTTAGAGTCAAAAAGTGAGCTATTTAAAAAAAATCCTGTCTCCATTAAGCTAATTTATTTTTGAAATGCCAAATTGCAATTATACTGTCATTGGAAACGCAGCTAATGGGATGACACTGTTTTGGCTGCAAAAACAGTTTTTGTACCAACAATGTAGAGAAACTAAATTTTTACCTCTGTAACTCGCTTAGAGCTTGAACAGCAAAAATAGCTGCCAGCACAAAATAGCTTGTGAGTTGTCATGAATTTTAAAAAAGGATGTTTTGTATTTTTTGAATAGCGTGTTGCAGTCATGCTTGTTCTTTTATTTCTAGCTTCCTGTTGTTATGGAGTGCTGTTCTCATCATGTATCCAACTACGCTGGCGGTCATTGCCCTCACCTTCTCCAATTACGTCTTGCAGCCAGCCTTCCAGAACTGCTTGCCTCCGTTCATCGCCACCAGACTGCTTGCCACCATCTGTGTCTGTGAGTCTAAAGCCTTCTAGGATTTACATTTTCTGTCTGTGTGCAGTTTACTCATCCCAGTTCCTTCAGCTGCTATGCTGGTGTTTGTAACCAGCATGTCTGTGACGCCTTACCAAATATGTTGTTCTTTTCTGGCAAACTAAGACTGTTGAAACAGAGAGGTATCGTGCAAATTTCAACCTCTGGCAGAAGTCCTTCTGTTTGAGGCCTGGTTTTGGTACTGGGGCATAAGTAAGATGCACTGAATTATTTCTAAAATTATAATATAAACCAGTCTGTCACATCACCTTTCATCTCGAAATCATTGGAAAAGTTAAGCTTCCTCCTTCCTTCATGTGTTTCTTCTGAGCCCCACTTTGCTACCTGTAATGTTGTCTCATAACATGAACATTTTTGATTGCGACTGGATGAATGTGACTCTAGAAATGCTTTGCTTAGTCAGTGTGACTAAGCACTGATCTCCTTTACCTGATCTCCTTTACCTATAGGTAAAAAGGTTGTAGCTTGTTGGTTAGCTTGGCGAAAGAAAGCACCAAGCTAACTGAATGAAAGCACAGGGTTTTTTTTGTTGTTGTTTTGTGAGAAATTAAAAATTAAATTGCTGTGGCTCAAAGTTTACCATCCGAATTTTTTTAAAGGCGTACAAGTCCAAGTCCGTCTTGATCAGTAGAGTGATAAGCATAGCGAGTCGAAAATGTGGATAGTGTTGAATCGAAGGTTATTGGGAGTTTGAACTGTCCAGTGTTGCTGTGGAGTAGCCGGCATAGTGTCTTTTTTTATTTTCCTTGTGCCACCATGCTTCAAAATATCTTAACTACAGACCCTCTGTTGCTCAGACAGTCAGGTCAGATGACTTCATGAACCAGAGTAACTCCCAGTGACGTAATCAAAAGGGCAGACATTCTTTCACACAAGCATCATATGTAGACAACGTATCTTCTCAGAGGAGCCAGGAGTTAGATCGACCATTAAACAATCTCATGTAAAGCTCTTCAAGTTCTGACTGTAACCAAAGAAAATATTTTAATGACAAAGTCTTCGTTTGCTACCAGTTATTTGTGTATCATTGTTCGATGGCATCAGGACCCCAGGATGTCGCCTGAGGCTGTTCATTGTCATTCGAAAATCCCATTCAAAATGTTCTGCTCCATTTATAGCCTCTAATTTCATCAGTGTATGTCAGCACCTTTGCTTGAAATGCAAGACTGGAAATGGCTTATGGCAAAAGCATACTGTACATGTATCGGATCAGCAGGACAGCCTGTCAGGTCTTGTCTGATCCGGATGGAGTAAAGGGACATTGAGGGGGGAGATGGAAGGTAGTGGGATGGGTATCTGCAGGAGAGTGTATCCACATGTCAAGCTGAGCTTAGCGTTTTCAGAGCCCAGTGATGAAGCGCTGCTATTTTAGGCAACAGTGTGCTACAACTGCTGTCCGGTCAGACCAGGTGTAACATGGACAGTATATATTTATATAAATATATATATATATATATATATATATATATATATATATATATATATATATATATATATATATATATATATATATATTTATATAAATATATAATATGTGTGTGTGTGTATGCGTTGCGTTGACTTACTGAAGGCGGAGTTTCAGAAAGAGCACAAGTTTTTTTTGAAGAGACACAGGCCCAATTTCAAAATATGTATGTATGTGTGTGTGTGTGTGTGTGTGTGTGTGTGTATGTATGTATGTATGTATGTATGTATGTATGTATGTATGTATGTATGTATGTATGTGTGTGTATGTCAGACTTTGGTTGGACTGATTGGTTTATTTTGTGCAAGTGTGTGTCAGTGGCAGTGTCAGATTACATAATGGTGCCAGGCTTTGTGGACGCCGCTAATGAGTGGCTATGTTCACACTATTGTGTATTGTTTGATGCTCCTGTGGCTGAGTCAAACGCAAACAGGAAATGGGCCGGACACCTTGCACATTATTGAGACGGAATCCTATTGGCTGACTGTGTTTCGGGAAGGATGTCGTTGGCTTCCATTGGCTGTTTACTACTTTCCACATCCTCATAGCGTCACTCGTCAGTGCTGAAGTACCAGAGACGTTATTTTTCTGTCTGCGATCAGCCTCACTTCCTTTAAGAGTTCATACTGTTAAGCAGACAGACTGAGATAAATGCTTGTGGGATTTATTTTCACCTCTTTGTAAAGCTGAGTGTCTGACTGGTCTGAGGTCAGCGTAATTTATGAATGTCAGCAAGCCCAGATATTTATGTTCCCCCTCCTTCCTCTCATGCAGAGCATACTGCAAAGGAGACGCAAGTCACCCTGGAGTGAGTGAGTAAAAACCAGACAGGTCCAGTTTTGGGCTAGCAGTGTTCTACTAAGAATAGACACACAGAGCTTCATCTCACTTACGTGACGACACTTCCTCTGTAACTTGGTGAGGTGCTCTAGGTTCTGCTGGTTCTTATTTTGATTGGTTATTTTTAGGTGAGCTTTGCTAAAACCAGTGAAAAACTTTGTCACAGTTAATTATTTCTTATTTTAGCATCAGTTTTCTCATTAATCTTGATGAGTTATGCTGCGATCCAGTTGTACTCGAAACCTAGAAATTCTTTTTTCCCAGTCAGAAAAATCAATGAAAGTCGGATATCCCACTGAGAAATCGGGAGCAACTCAGACTCCACCCAGTTATGACTGACTTTGCTTTTCAATGTGGCCGGTCCTCGCAAGGTGTGGTGGAAACATTCATTGGGAAACTAATTTTAGAAGAGACACATGCAAGAGTGTCTAAAATCAATGTGAAAAGTGCTGTTTGGTTATGGAAAGTAGTCAGTCTGTAATATGTAAGACAGAGTTTTTTCATGTTAGAAAGTTACTCCCTCTTCAAAAACATACCTGAATTGTTGCTTTGACTCTTTCTTTCATGCATGTTTGAGAAATCCTTGAATCTCTCCTGGTAACCATTCAGCTTTGCAAAAATGCCCGGGTGGACCTAGTCCCGCCTTCGAGGCACAGTTCTAATGAGGAGCTGCAGTTTGCAAGCAACAGAAGACCCCTCCCACCTCAGCTCCTTCAGACTAGCCAGCAGCACTTAGCAAACACCTGGTGGAACGGCACATCTGCTGAGCTCAATGTCAGGACTCTTTTTCAGCGCAACGCTGGTAAAAACCTTGTTAAAGGGTTAATAGAGGAGATGCGTTGCGGTGACTTACTGAAGGCGGAGTTTCAGAAAGAGCACAAGTTTTTTTTTGAAGAGACACAGACCCAATTTCAAGGTATTAAATTCGAAGAGTAAACATTTTTTAAGTCATATTTGATATATGCAGCATTTTTATAACAATTGGAGGTAATATAATTACTTTATTGTACTATAAAATGATACAAAGTACTTGGAAAATATATAATACTCCATCTTTAAAATGATGTTTGTAAGAGATACTCCATTGCATCGGTATTGTTACAACATGCGTCGCCATGTTGTAACAATACCGACATTCTACCTGGAACTCATAGATAGAAGCTGTAAAAATAGGAACGCATGGAGATTAGAGTCATTTTAACAATATTGATCTGGATGTTCAAGGTCTGCGGTGCTCAGTACATGTCAACGGTGATACACAGGTGTCAGCTCATGGCTCGCCAAGGTTCCCAATGAACATGGAGAGAAAAAAAGACTGGAATCTGTGGCCTGATTGAATAGAAAAGTGACGTTAAATCAAATTGCTGAAAAAGTTTATGCATGTCCTGAGAACTGAATGTCAAACTACACAGTGCATTGCAGCTTTTTACGTAACAGGCTGCATAGCGGCAGTCCAGACAGGATGTCCATGTTGACTACTGCTGAGGGAGCTCACTGCCAAGTGTGGACCTGTACCCGTAAATAATCCATGCTGTTATCCATAGACTGAACATTAGCAGGGAAAATCTGTTAAGTAGTCATTTCCTGTAGGTGAGCTGTGCCGGACAGTCCGTCTCCAAGCCCGCACTTGGGTTTGTACCTACTCAGCTTTCTGTCTCTTCAGCAACTCCTCTTCTCCATAATAAGCCAATTATTTCCCATATACCATTAATTATCCTAATCTCCTCTAAAATCCCTGAAGCTATTTTTTAGAGGAGGAACAATGTTTCTTGGAGTTTGTGAACTTTCTCACTGGCAGAAACAAAACAATAAAAAGGAAATCCTCAAAATAAAATGCACTTTTGTCACTTCAGTGCAGTTTTATCGTTAGACATGTGATGGATGTTGACCTGTCCTCAGAAATCATGTGCTCATGTAGTTTGTGACCAGTGATTTCAATTTAGTGTTGGCAATCTTTCTAAACTCCCCAGAATGTTCTGGACTCTTTATTAGATGCTGCGTTAAAGTCATTTACTGTTTGACTGGAGGATCTTTGTTGGTCATCAGAATGAAGCGGTTTCCATATAAACTCTGCAATATCTGTTCTGTCATTTTGGCCTTAGTGATTGTAGAACAGAAATTTGGTATTTGGTACTGTTTATGATTTTTAGAAATATAGCGCAAAGCACTTGAACTACAAAACCCATGTTTTGGTTTTTTTTCTGGATACATATGTGACCTGTCACACCCTATAAATGTTAAAGGGGAGTAAAAAAATAGTCTTTTACAGAGCAGGAATAGCAGCACACACAAATATAACCCAAAGTATCAACACGTTGGCAATTATTTAAATCATTACAAACATGTAAAATATCAGAAAACTGAATGAGAAAAACCAAACAAACATAATCATCGAATATAAAATACATTTTGAAGACTTTTTTTTTTTTTTACCTTTTGAGCTTTAAAATTAAGACATACATCATCTGATTTATGGGCCTGTGCTTTTTCTTTCTTTTTTTTTTTTTTTTTACATTTATTTAAAATGAGGAGAGCAATCATTCTCACCGCTCAGTGTGTCGAACTTTCAGAGCCAAAAGAGTGGAGATCATAACAGAAGGATTTGATTTATTTATATAGCTGCAATTCACAACAAATATTGTCTCAAGGCACTTTAAAACACATCATATCAGTTCATCATATACATTTTAAGTTGATTCCTAATAATGGTCATAGATGGTAATTGGAATAGACTTGGTACGTATGGAAAAAAATCCAGATTTTCCAACTTCAAACATCCAAAATTTTATTAATCTATAAAGCCAATTGATCACCCATCCCCAGTTATGTAGCTAACTCTGACTGCTTTCTGATGTTGGAGGAACTTGGTGGGAGTCATTACCAATTCAGTGACTCCAGTGACCACATCCTGAACCAGAAGGGGGTGTTCCTGAGGTTGAAGCCCCCCACACCCCACGGTCCCCCTCCCTGATAAATCTGCACAGACTTTGGATCTGAATCCATTAAGGCTAAAAGCAGTAATTTGTTTAGTATTCAAGTGCTGGAGCGGCCTTCAATGGAAGCCCCTGATGGCGGCACACATATTTACCTGCACTGTCACATTCAAAGCCGCTGGCACCTCCTTCCTGTCAGGGTTAAAACAGAGGAAATTTGGGGGAGACGGCGGAGGGAACACAGGAACAGAAACGCATGTAACACCCAGAGAGTAACTGACTATAAAACTCAGCAGTGCTGTGGAGAAGAAAAAAAAAAAAAGCTCTGCTCGGTGCCACCAAAACCTCCTGCCAACAATTCACGTGTGTGTGTGTGTGTGTGTGTGTGTGTGTGTGTGTGTGTGTGTGTGTGTGTGTGTGTGTGTGTGTGTGTGTGTGTGTGTGTGTGTGTGTGTGTGTGTGAGTGTGAGTGTGAGTGTACCAGCGGAAGAAGTGTTCTGTGGTGGGAGGGAAAACCTTGTTCTAGTGATGGATGACCTGCCGTCTGTATGTGCCGGTACACACACTATTGTTTCCCATGCAAGTCACTGTGTTAGTAGTCTGAAAGTGAGGTACGGTGGGAAGTTAGCGTAACGAAGAAATAATAGGTTTTAGGGCTTTTGTTTTACCAAAATAAGGATTTAATCATTCAGAAACTTAGTAAAAGGGATGACAAATGAAGATTTACTTAGCACACATGGGAAGTGGAAAGACTGACATTTCGTCACATTTAAACTACAAACTTTAATGTGCTTTTAATGGGTTTTTATATGCGTGCTTGGTCTGTTTTTTTTTGTAACAGTGCTTAATGGTAAAAAAGAAAAAAAATCATCTTATTGGAAAGTCTGTCAGTTTCAGCAGAAATGGTTCTGCAGTCTTAAGGAAAAATGCAGCTGTGGCACCATTGTGGGTTTCACCCAAGAAAAACCAGCCAACGTTTCTGCAAACAGTTTACTTAACCCGGCTTTAAACTGGTCCACAGCTTTTCCCCTGACGTGTCTGCTGTATTCCTTCACGTTGTTTGGATCTTGTTGTTGTTCCAGGAGTCAAACCACTTTGAAGAGCTGATTAACTCGATGTTGGTGCTGCATGCTCAAAGCGTTCCAGGCTGGAGGCAACTCCCAGAGCAAGACAGCACAGCTGTAGATGTGTTGGTGTATGTTTAGAGTGGGTAATTACAGCGTTTCATTTAATGATGTGTTTTCTCTCATTTTGAGTAAAGGGTTTTGCATGACTCCAACTATAAGAGTAATCTTAGTATTTTATGCTGGAGGAAATTTGCAACTTTTCTTCAGTTATTGTATGACAGTCTGACATGCTAACAGCTTGACATCCAGGCAGCAGAGAAGCAGAGATGATATTCCATAGTAGCATGTGCTGGATGCCACCATCAGTCATTAGCAAGCACTGCTGATCCACTTCATTTGCTTTTGCCGCTCTTTTTAAAATCCTTGTCTGGCCGTTTGGTTAGAAAGTCGGGGCAGGGAGTCGGGGATGTGATCGCCATCTGTTAAGATTTACTAAAGAGACAGTGTGATGAGCATCCAATGCATCTCCTTTTCCCCACTAGGATTTGGGGTCATAGTTCATGTGTTATTTGGGGGGCTAATCAGCTGCCCCCAGTCATTAAAGAAAAAACCCCAAAACAATAGTTTCATCGACATGATCTAAAATCTTCTCGATTGTTGTTGAAGGGCTGTAACTGGTAACTTCCTGGTTGCGAAACCTTTTTAAAAAAATAAGGTTTGTATCCAGACTAACATTAGAGAGAGAGGCTTCTTTATCTTTCCACAAATGTGAGAACTCTTAATTTGAAACAGGTTTTCCAACAGTAACAGATTTCTTTACAAGAAGAAATAAATGACCAATTACAAATGTGTCTGCGCTCCAACACAATGACGACTCCATGTGGGTGAAAAAAAGGTTGTGGGTTTATTAAATGAGGTCATTTTGACTGATTAAGGCAGGCTTATGGATTAGACACTGAAAAGCAAAATCAGGAAACGTTCAGTTTGTAATTTAGTTAACCCAGAAAATCATGTGCTTACCTTTTTTTTTAAAGACAGTAATAAAAGCTTGGCTAGCAGGCACTAATGAATCGTTTTAGTGTTTATTATGTACATTGATTTGTTAGGTTTCTGTCCTCATCAGATTTTCAGTTTTGTTTGTATCTATGAAGAATTTTTGCTATGCTGTATGAGATGTCTGTATAAATATAGACTTGTGTGTGTGTGTGTGCGTGCGTGTGTGTGCGTGCGTGTGTGCGTGCGTGCGTGCGGGTGGGTGTGTGTGTGTGTGTGCCTGTGTGTATACAGTGTTCCTGACCTGGGTGAATTGCTCCAGTGTCCGCTGGGCGACGAGGATTCAGGATATTTTCACTGTAGGAAAACTTCTGGCTCTAGTGCTCATCATCGTGGTTGGACTCGTCCAGATCTTTAGAGGTAAACACTGCAACTGATACAATTAATAGTAATGGATGACTTTACCCAATTGCATCACCCAATTTAATAACGGATTGGTCGTTAACTAGAGTATTCAGACTCACAAACAACACACTTCCAAAAGTGTACAAAAAGATTTATACACTTTTTATTTAAGATAAAAAAAGCATTTGTTTGCCCAAAATTCCTCAAGTGGACATTTAGCTTCACCTGGTTCAAATTCAGATCACTGTTTTTGATGTTAAGTCAAACTGAAAGGGCTGACCTTTTCATGTGTTGAAGTTAGAAGTATTTTTTAGTCTTTTGTTTGTGTTTTTATTTAAAAAATGAATTGAGGTTTATGCTTACTTGAATTTTAGTGTATTTCTAACATTGTGTAAAAAAGACTAAAATAAAAAGATTTGCAGTATATGTACTTTTTTTTATCTGATTGTCAGAATGATTAATAGAATAATCTATCACTAAAATAATTGCTAGTTTCAGCCCTTGTAAACATAAACTCACAAATATGAGTGACTGACATCTCAGCATTCTTTCTCTGCTGTCCAGGTATTCTGTAAGTCTATCAGACGATCAAACTTAACAGCAGGAAAATTAGTTTACAATTTTAGATTTTTCTTCTGCTATTCATGATCCAACCATTACCTTTTTCAGGTGTTAATTTCTACCTTTTCTTGGCCCGTCCTCCTCCCGTGTCTGTGCAGGTCACTACGACGCCCTGCGGCCCAGCGTGGCCTTTGAATTCAGCCAGGACCCATCATTTGGACAGATAGCTCTGGCCTTCCTGCAGGCTTCCTTCGCTTACAGTGGCTGGAACTTCCTTAACTACGTTACGGAGGAAGTCGTGGAACCACGCAAGTACGATGGCACCGATACGACAGGGAGCGCGTCTCAGCTTCTTTGGTCCAGTTGAATAATTGTTTTTTTTTTGTACCATCAGGAACCTGCCTCTTGCCATCTACATCTCCATCCCACTGGTGACCCTGGTGTACACCATGACCAACATTGCCTACTTCACCTCCATGACTCCAGAGGAGTTGCTCGCCTCCAACGCTGTAGCAGTGGTGAGCAGTCACTGATTACTTCTGTGTGTTTTGTCAAACCATACAAAGTATTTCCTCATTGTGAAATGGAGAGAAAATTATTTTCAGTAGTTTCTTCACAAGTAAAAATCTAAATGTGTTTACATTCTTCAAAGTAGAGATGCATCGAACCACTTTTCACTTCACTCCAATAAAGATATTTGAGGTTTAGCAAATTGTGTAATAACTTCTTGTCATTTCAGTAGACTTTTAGTAGACATTTCCATTCTTCTGTGAGTTAAACTGTCTTTGGAAGATGTTTAAACGTTGCAACATTGCCCAATAATCTGTTTTCCTGTTTCAGACGTTTGGGGAAAAGCTGCTGGGCATATTTTCCTGGGTGATGCCCATCTCAGTGGCGCTGTCCACGTTCGGAGGCATCAACGGCTATTTATTCACCTCCTCCAGGTACAGCCTTGTGCGTCTTTTAAAATGTCCTTCTTTGCAACCACTGCTAAATGTTTTGTTTCAAATATGTCAGAGAAGGAAAAATAAAACTGTGTACAATGGATTTTTCCTTTCAGATTGTGTTTCTCTGGAGCCAGAGAGGGTCACCTGCCGTACCTGCTGGCCATGATCCATCTGAAAAACTGCACACCGATCCCCGCCCTGCTTGTCTGTGTACGTGCTGTTCAGCTTTTATTCCTAATACCCAAAACTGTAGAAATTGTAATAAACCACTAAAGTGCCTGTCATTTTAGTTTAACATCTTCCTTCTGTTTAAACCTACCTGCATGTCTTCCAGTGTATCGCCACGGTACTCATCTTGTGTATCGGAGAGACGCACAACCTGATCAACTACGTGTCCTTCATCAACTTCCTGTCCTATGGGGTGACCATTGCTGGCCTGCTCTACCTGCGCAAGAAGAGGCCCAACCTGGCCAGACCCATTAAGGTACAGCTTCCCTGATGTTAACGGGACCATTTTACCAGAACCTCAGCCGGTGTCCATTAGGTCATGAACGTCCATTAAATTAGTCAAGCACTTTGTATGTACACCAGGTAGGCCTGTCAACATGACAAATTTTGCTGGACAATAAATATTCCCAGAAATGATCATGATGAATGATGATATTGTCATATTGAGACAGTTTTCAAGTCTTTTAATAGTAATGGGATAATCATACAAGTGCACTCTCTCAAAGATGGATAAACTTTAACATTTTAGACAAATATTTAACACAGGAACTGGAAATATTCAAAATAAATAAACTAAATTAACAAATAAAATTAATTATGAAATATTGGCAAACGAAAGTGGCCTTCAAAAAACAGGTATGTTGAGACTGGAGTTTTTTTTTCACACTTTTTATTTAGTCTGTCTCTCTTTCTACCAATCAGTCACACAAATGGAAATTATTGGGCTCATTTAGATTTATCATGTGATTAATTAATTATTGGGATAATCTTAACATCAGCTGTCATCTTGCCACATCTTTCTGATGGACACACTTAATTCTTTGCTGCCACCTAGTGACTGGTATATACAGCTACATGTTAAGTGTGGGGGAGAATGTAAACTTTCATGTATTTTCTTGGAATATTAAGAGAAAAAATGTCTAGTACATGTCACATGTGTATGTTGAAGCATGAATATGAATATTTCTGCCTGTTTTTGTTGTGTGCAGGTGAACCTGTTGGTTCCCATCACCTACCTGATTTTCTGGGCCCTGTTGCTGTTCTGCAGTCTGTACTCTGAGCCGGTGGTGTGCGGCCTGGGGATGGTCATCATGCTGACCGGCGTCCCAGTTTACTTTGTGGGAGTTCATTGGAAAGAAAAGCCCAAGTGGATTTATATACTGCTGGGTAAAGTTTAAACTGTACTAAGGACACAAAAACTTGTCTTTTGCAAAAGGAGAAACACATGTCAGACGTAGCTGCATCAGACGAGCTAACTCCAACAGGCCAACTGCATCGGGGGCTTGGAGCACTTTAATATTTATTCACTAATCATAGGCGTGTCGTCACACTGATAATTCAACAGCTCAAGCAGGTACAAGAAAATACGTTCTGTATATGGTAACTCTTTAAGACAGATTAAGTTTACACACTTGTCTCTATTTTTGTAGACAGCTGCGAAAGCTTCTGCACATTGTCTGGAAACATCTGTAACAGGAAATCACATCTTGCAGAAGTATAAAAACAGCAGATACATCAGTAAAAAGTATCAATTCCTGATCAGCCATTGTAGATAAGAACAAAAAGGAGTACATTTCTGCTAAAAAAAAACTGAAATTTTGAGATTAACCTCAGAAATTTTCTAGAATTTCAAAAGTCAAAAATTTCCAAGTTCTTTCTGGAAAATTTCTTATGTAAACTTTTTTTTCTCCCACATTTTTGACTTTTGGAGCTAAAATTTACGCCACTTACTTTAAGTGTAACCTGAACTGCACACAGTAACGAATCATATTCTGGAATTTACTGATATTTACTGATTCTCTTGTGGAAGAAAAAGAGAAAAACATATCTGATCATACTGTTTGTTTTTTGTTTTTAATTTAACATCCATAATTGAAATTTATCATGTCAATGATAAAACAGAATTCCTATTAAAACATCAATGATATGCGATACAATACTTTTCTAAATATTTCTTCCTGTTTGCAGACATTGCCATCAGCTGACCTGTTCCGTTTGCCTTGCAGAAAGAGTGACATACATGGGCCAGAAGCTGTGCTACGTCGTGTTTCCACAGGAAGACTCTTCAGAGACGGAACCCCTCACTGCCAAAGCCATCGACTGAACAGCAACAATGTTTGTTTTTTTTGTTTTTGTTTTGCATTCGCGCCTGCACTTTCAGTTTTTCTTGTGTAGGTTTTCCAATTTTGTGCTCTGTGAGTTGTGAAGAATCACCGCCATGTACTTTCTTGTACATCTTCCCGAATGCAGGTGGCATTTAGAAACACTTAAAAGAAAAAAAAAGAAGAGAGAAACTTTTCAGATGAATATGCAAGCAGTTTCTGCACTTAGCCATATTTTTATCTCTACTTCTTTGTCCAGTGCCGTTTCACTAATTATTCTTGATCCTCTCTGCTCAGCTGTAATTTCTTAATTTTTTCACAATACATCAATTACTTTATCCTCTTATTTGTCAGAAATATACTGAGAGATGCCATATGTGCCTTGTCGGTGTTGATTGTTTTGAATTGTATTTTTCTCTCCTAGCAAGAAAACTACAAACTGAGAGAGACGTGAGAATGGCGAGAAGCTTCAGTTGAACTGGATAAATGAATTGTTTCATGTCTGAGGTTGGCACCTGACAGGGTCTTCAGGTTTTCCAGATTTAGCGGTGGACTCTTTAGAGGTGCTCACCCGGCCAAGGTGTTATCGCTATAGAATTTCTTGTTACCGTATAGTAACACTTGTTACACTTCCTGCTTGCACCATAGCACATTAGGGCATTTATTGATAGACAAAACAGGAGAGTGGCAAATTTCTGGCAAACATTTTGGAAATATAGAGGTTAATCTCTTAAATTTTCGATTAAAGAAATTAGAAATTTGAGTTTCAAAAGTCAACAAAACTACAAATAAAAATGTATTTTTCTTGAATTTTTTTTCAGAGATTAATTTAAAAATTTCCGAGTTTCTTGAAAATTTTGTCTATGTACGATAGCCCTTTCATGCTGTCGCACTGCTCCCATTTCACTAACATTGATTGTCCCCTTGTGGCCCACAGCTCGTCCAGCCAGTTGACTTTTTATAAACCTGCCAACTAACTTAAGGTACTGATGACATTTTACGCTTGTACAGATTTTAGTCCTGTTAACGTACTAAAGCTTACTTGAATTTGTGTCGTCAAATTTTTGCATCATACTGTCACAGGATAGCGCAGGTGAAGTGTTTGAAGAGATGGTCTCCTTTCTTCTGGGGGTGAAGTTTTTGTAGATTTCTCAAACCAACTCTGTATGAAACGTTCTGCGGTTATAAGAGACATTTAGATTTGTCGCCAATTTCTCAGCCACATAATGTTCTAGAATCGCTAAAATTTTCATCTCATTAGATAGCCTCAGGACTTTTCTACAAACTAACTGCGATGTCGCCGCTTTATTATTATTTTTTGGACGGGAACTTCTGCTGACAAAAACTTCAAAAAACCTCTGCACAAGGATGTCAAACTATTCCTTTAAATTGTTTGGGGACCTGACCGCCAACATAATTCTGCAGCATTACCTTTTTAAAAGAACTGTAACTTACTGAGGAGATATTGTTTTGTTTCCTAGAAAGACAACAATAAGCTTGTGGTGCTTTTTCTAGTATTCTGGTAACTGGGCATTTTAAAAAGAGAGACTCCTTAAACCTAAAACAGGTCTGTTTTGCCATGTTCAGGCAGTAGACGTTGCAGTTTGTAAATACTGTGTAAAAAAGAAAAAAAAAAGGTGCCATGGACTCCTGCAAAGACTACATTCCTCAGATGTGCCGTGATGTCTTCACACACTACATAACGGATGTGTGTACCCTCGAGTTTGTAAAAAAGAAAAAAAGTGTAAAGTTGTACAATGATAACAATGGAAAGTGTTATTAAATATAGCAGCTTATTAAATGCATTTGTCACTTGTCATTCTTGTGGCCTCATCAGATAAAAGCACTGCCAGAATAAACAGTGGCATAAAAATTTTAGTTTGTGATGAAGAGTAGTATTGTTTTTGAAGAGTGTCTTTGAATTTGAAAAGTTCACCATCAAATCTGTTGTCTTTTCCCTCGTCCAAGTTGGGGTGGCTAGTTGCTGTTCAGTATCTTCAAGTTCTTAATTATGTACCAAAACTGCTTGCCTATTTCAACTGATTTTGTCCACAGAGTAGCACTTTTATCCAAGAAGCACAGCGACATGTCAAAACAGTGACCAAATGTTTTTACCGTAGTATTGTCAGAAATGACAGCTGATATCAGGAGATATTATGAGCACAAAGTGCCTGCCATATTTTTTTTTATTTTTTTTTACTGGTTTCAATATGTGTTTTGGTAGAAAATTCAGTTTTTGCATCACTTGGTAAAAGCATTGAACAATTGATGGGAAACCATAACTTTTATGTATTTATTCAGGCACATTAAAACTGTGACACAGGTTTTGATCAGGAGGTCTTGATATACGATTCAACTTTAGTATCTCAAAATAACAATATAAACTTGTGTTGGCTTCAGAATAACAACCCGACCTAATTTACAAACCTTAAATTGTTCTCGAACTAATTCAGTTGAATTCAACAATTAACATATTGGAAATTATTTAAGTCATTTGGGAGGTTAAATGAAACCCAACCTTTTTCAGATTACCCACGCAACAAAATCTTATTAAACTATTCCAAATGATACATGTTTCCATATTAATGAGATATTAAATGTCACCAGAGGAAAAAAATACAAAACATATTTACACAATGTTTTACCAAATGAAAGTTATTGATTTGATGCAGCAGTGAACTGGAACCCGAACCGTCCAGTTGAACAATCATATTTAGCCAGGAAGGCAAAATATCATAAACAGTCGACCACGGCTGTCAGAACGGCTGACAGAAAAACCACGACATGACAGGACGCAGCAGCTTTTTATTAACGTACAAGACAAAAAAAGAACAGTGCTTTGCAAAAATATTCATATTCATTTTTACAGGTTTTTTTGTTCACCCATAGAGGAAGCCACCCCAGGCTTTATGCGCGGCGTAACGGTAACGCTGCACATCATATTGTCCTGCTCTGGTGACGTTGTGATGCCACAAGGTTTCTTTGCTATATCCACTCGCGTGTTTGTAGAGGAAAATAAAAACTTCCACAGCGCTCCGAAATAAGGATGCAAAACAAAAATTTATTCCACAGTTTTGTGAGATATCCTTTACAAGAGCAGTTGTATCTTATCTAACCTTCACAAACAACTACGGTTGAAAAACCGTGTGGCTCTGTAGATAAACTAGCAGCGCCTTTCTTTCTTGTTAACGCTACAGCGTCCACACCTCATTTGCATAAATTGCGAAATGGACACTTAAACTATAAACATACAACTTAAAATAAAACACTCATTGACAACAAAACATTACAAAATTAGCTACATGCAGTACTAATAATTCTTCCTAAACTTAAATAAATTCACTTATTAAATTACATATTAAACAAAATGTTTTAACAATAACTGAATATTACTTCACATTAACTTGGCCTCCACATTCCGGCCCCTAATTGTGACCCTTATCACACAATTACCAACTTAAACTTGTGGAGCCAAAGTACTCAAATGCCATTCAACAAAAACAAATTAAAACAAACTTCTCAGTCTCTATATGAATGACTGCTTCAGTCCGCTTCCTGTAAAAGACAAATCTTCGTTATGGGTCTGTCCAACATGCTTGTCTTGGTTTTGATTTTCACTTGACGCACCATTCCTGTCTTGTCAGAGATGGTTTGGATTATCTTCCCTGTAACCCAAGAATTGCGTGGAGCTGTGTCATCAACAATAAGCACAATGTCTCCAACTGCAAAGTTGCGAGACGGACGGTTCCATTTTTGCCTTTCCTGAAGTAGTGGCAAATATTCTCGTGTCCAACGTTTCCAGAATATTTCTGACATATGTTGTACTTGCTTCCATCTCCTTCTTGCGTAGATATCTTGTTTATCGAACAGTCCAGGAGGAAGAGATGGTTTAGTTTTCAGAAGCAAGAGGTGATTAGGAGTGAGTACCTCCAAATCGTTTGGATCACTGGACAACTTAGTTATTGGCCGACTATTAATAATAGCTTCCGCCTCACACAGAAGTGTGTGTAGGCCCTCCTCATCCAGTGTCTGCAGTTGTAGCGTGACATTTAAGATTTTCTTCACCGACTTTATTAATCTCTCCCAGACGCCGCCATGGTGGGATCCTGTGGGAGGATTGAACATCCATTGAATGCCTTGTTGTTGAAGGTGGTCTTCAATCTTGGACACATTCCATTCATTAATGGCTCTTTTAAGTTCACGCTCTGCACCGATGAAATTCGTTCCATTATCAGAACGAAGGATCTTTACTTGGCCTCGTCTAGCAATAAAGCGACGAAGGGCGTGAATAAAGGAATCCGTATCCAGTGAGGCTGCCATTTCCAAGTGTATCGCACGAGTGGTTAAGCAGGTGAAAATGACACCATACTTCTTCACCACACTTCGTCCACGTTTAATCTCAAACGGACCAAAGTAGTCCACGCCACAGTTAGAAAATGGTGGGTCATCTGGCAGAACTCTGTCTTGAGGAAGGTCTGCCATTTGTTGCTTTCCTACAACTCCATGCGCACGTCGGCAGACAATACACTTGGAGAGTATCTGTCTTACTGCAGTGTTGGCACCAGGAACCCAATATTTTGTTCTCAGCTTTGAGATTACATGATTACGACCACAATGCGCCAAGTTCTCATGAATTTCTTTGAGGATAAGCTTTGTGACGTGTAGATCCTTACTTAAGATTGCTGGGCGCCTTGACTCTTCCGGTAGTGCAGCTTTCCTAAGTCGTCCTCCAACTCTGAGAATGCCTTGTTCAAGTACTGGATTCAGTTTGAAAAGAGAACTAGTCCTTTTCACTCCCTGACCTTTAGAAAGTGCAGTGATCTCTTCGGAAAGTGCCCTTGCTTGACAAAAGCGAACAATTGCTTCTTCAGCTTTTGCAAGGTTCTCTATAGTATGTTTCTTGTGGTTTGCTTGAAACAGGCTTTCCTTGAAACCTCTCATTTCCTTTTCAACTTCAGATTGAGATTTCACAGCAATTAACTCTTTTCTTTTGCGACACAGTTGCAGTAGAATACTCTTAACTTTAAGCATCCACGCAACTGCCGTTTTTAGTCGAAACCAGGATGAGAAGTACTGCAGGAATTCTTGCAATACATCTTTACGTTCCTTAACAGTGTGAGCACAAATCAGTGTACTCTTCACCTCTGGGTCTTCTGTAGTCAGATCTCCAATAGTATGCACACACTCTGGCCATTCGTCCATGTGTTTAACAAGAAAGCCCGGCCCCTGTAACCATACATGGTGGTGAATGAAGCTTTCTGCCTTGAGTCCTCTGGATGCGCAGTCAGCGGGATTCAATGAGGTGTTGATATACCTCCATTGCTGAGGATTGGAGCACTTCAGGATGACATCCACACGATTAGCAACAAATGTGCGGAACCTACTAGTTTGGTTGTTGATGTATTTCAGTACCGTGGTACTATCTGACCAAAACACAGATGGTTGGAGTGGAAGTTGCAGCTCTGATGTTAGAACATTTTCCATGCGTGCTGCCATGGCTGCTGCAGTAAGTTCCATACGTGGAACCGTTACCGACTTAAGTGGGGCCACTCTTGCTTTCCCTAACATGAATGCACAATGAACTTCGTTACTGTTATTCTTCTGTAGCAAGTAGCTAACTGTGCCATAGCCTTCTTCACTGGCATCAGCAAAATGTTGCAGCTGGTTGTATACTGACTGTCCAAATCCTACAGGTTTACAACATCTTGGAACACTTATGTTCTCCAGCTGGTGGAGCTGGGTCTTCCACTCGAGCCACTTATGAGCCAAGTCTTCAGGTATGATGACATCCCATCCAACCTTCCGCCTGCAAAGCTCTTGCAGAATCTTCTTAACTTGAAGCATAACTGGTGACAAGATACCCAATGGGTCGTAGACGGAGCCCACAATAGAAAGGATGTTCCTCCGAGTAGGAGCCTTGTCTGGCATTATGATCTTGAATCTGAAGCTGTCAGACTGAATACACCATTGGACTCCCAACGCTCTCTCTAGAGGAAGCATATCCTGCTCCAGGTCCAGATTTTTAACTTCCGTTGCCCTCTCTTCTTCTGGAATAGCTGATAGTACTGCTGCTATTGCTAATCCATTTTGTGAGTCTGAATCCACCTCTATAACATACCGCTCTCAGGGTGTGGTACAACTGGATGGCTTCCTCTTCTGAGCTCACAGACTTTAAACAATCATCTACATAGAAGTTGTGTAGCATTGTGTCAACTGCTTGATTGTTGGCCTGGTCTCGGTTGTCTTCGGCACATTTGCGGAGAGCGAAACTAGCACAGCTGGCGACGAAGTTGCGCCAAAAATGTGAACCACCATCTTGTACTCCACCATTTTCTGAGTAGTGTCGCCAGATTCCCACCACAGAAACCGTAGAAGGTCTGAATCTTCATTAGGTACCTTTACTTGGTGAAACATTGCTTCCACATCTGCCATAACTGCCACCTCTTCTTGCCTGAATCTGATAATTACTCCAAGCAGAGTACTCGTAAGATTTGGTCCTTGTAATAACTGGTTGTTTAGAGCGGTGCCTTTGTACGACGCTCCACAGTCAAAAACCACTCTAAGTTGTGTTTCTTAGGATGGTAGACTCCGTGATGTGGCAGATACCAAACCTTCCCATCGTCACGATCAAGGTCTTCTTCTGGAACTTTCACCGCGTAACCTTTTTCTATAATGTTACTCATGAAACTTGAGTATTCAGTGTGAAATGAAGAGTCTTCTCCAATTTCCGCCTTAGGTTTAAGGCACGTTGCTCTGCCACTTTACGGTTGTTAGGCATCCGAATATGCTTGTTCCGTAATGGCAAAGCAATACTGTAATGTCCATTCACAATGGTAACTGACTGTTGCAATATCCAAAAACTGCAAATCTTCCCTTGACATTTCCTGTTTCTCATTTCTTTCACTCTCAGGAAAGTCACTTTTAAACTGCTGACTCCACAGTTCATCCAATCTGCTTACTGATATGCGATTTGCTGAAACTTGAATCAACCCTTGCGTTGCACTTTGTAAAATGTGTCCTTGGAGGGGTTCGCTGATGGTCCAACCAAGCCTGGTTCTCACAGCGTATGGACCTCCCCTTTCACTTGCAATAACCTGCCAAGGTTCTATGGCTTTAGGAGCATTAGTCCCAATCAGAAGTCCAACCTTTGCTTCAATCTTAGGTATTGACACCTGCTGAAGATAGGGCCATTTGTTCACGTAATCTTGTGAAGGAATGTTACAGATAGAAGCAGGGATGTTGCTGTGACTGAACATTTCTGGCAGCTCGAAAAAATCATTATTGTCTAAGCTGCTTATTTCCAACCCAGAAACCACGTGACTACTGACGACATTTTCTTCTCCCATTGTTTTCAGCAAAATGTTCATTTTTTGCCTGAAAGATTGAGTTCATGCATCAGCTCTTCAGTACAAAAACAAGCTGTACTGCCTGGGTCTAGAAATGCATAGGTGTATGTCACCTTTTGACCTCTTTTTAGTTTGACTTTGACTGGAACTATCGCCAATATGTGTTCTGGTTTCTCTGCACCATAAGTGGGTGCATCCATTTCCACAAATCCATTCACAACTGACTCTGTCGGTTGTTCCTCTCCCTCTCTTGTTGCCACTTCAGGCCCTGCCTCGTTATTAACACAACTGGGCCTTTTCTTTATGTGTAATACTGTGGGATGGTATTGCGCACAAACCTGACAGCTGGCCTTTTCTTTGCATAAATTACTCATGTGTCCCTTTTTAAGACAGCTAAAACACAATCCTTTAGTTTTCAAGAAATCAATCTTTCCTTGTGAAGTGACTTCCTCATCTTCTTACATTGTTCCATAGTGTGCTCCTCACCATGACAGAAGAGACAAGGTTTGGAAAATGCACACGTCTGGTTTCTGCTGACCTTTTTCTCTGCCTTGGTTTGTGTGTCCTGTGTAGTGGTAATAGTTGCAGCTGTGGTGAATCCCTTTTTGAAGCCACTTTTTCTTTGCAACCTTTCATCCACCTGTCCTTTAACTTGAAGCTTTAAGGTGCTGTCCTTTATGTCACCAAACAGGGGATGTAAAACTTCTTTGGCCTGTTTATTGACAAAATCCACCAGATCGGCAAACTTGACTCTGCGCTTTTCTTTGTCCAAGATTCCACAAGCATGCGATCTCCACCTTTCTCTCAATTTATATGGGAGCTTGGCAATGATGGCACGCATGTTGGCTGTGTTGTCCAACTCCTCCATATACTCTACATCTGCCATTGCATTACGACATCCAGTGAGATATAGTCCGAATGCATGAAGAGCCTCTCCATCGTCAGCCTTGATGGTTGGCCAACCAAGAGCTTTGTTAACGTATGCCACCGATATCTTGTAGGTGTTGCCAAAGTGCTCTTCCAAAAGTCTCTTAGCTTCCTTATACCCACGCGTTGGTTCCATATGAAGACAACTTCTTACCAATTCTCGTGGCTGTCCACTTGTACTGTTCCATGTAGTACAGCCGGTCTTTGTCGCTTTCGGTTTTATCCTCCACCCCATGTTCAAATGCCCGAATGAACAGCCGATACTCTAATGGGTCCCCTTTAAAAACGGAAATGTTCTGAGGGGCAATGCTGCCAACTTCTGCTGCTTTGTTAGCACTTCGACTACATCCTGCAGGGCACTTGGCGTCTGTGCTGGATGAGAGGTAACCACGCGTGTTTGCTGCATGTTTTGGACAACGTTATTGTTCTGAATTTGACCCTCTTGTGTTGGGAAAGGATTATTTGACTGCTGCTGAGCAAACAAATCTTCAGCTCTGTGAGAAGTCACATAGGAGTTCATTCCATCCACTTTGAATGCACGACTGGATGCCTTAGATGAACACTTATATTCTGATAGGATTCATCTTGCCTCATTTGCTGCTAGAGCTGTTTGTATTTCTAGCTCCTCCCTTTCAGCTTTGAGTTTAGCCTCTCTTTCCTCCAGTAAGTGTCTTTGTTTCAAAGATGATGCCTGAACCAACAACTTAGCTCGTTCCAACTCTGCTTTCATTCGTGTGGAAGAGGCAGTCGATGATGCACAAGAACCACGTTCAGAAGAGCTCTTATGACTTCTTTTTGACAAAGATGCATTAGATACGCTGTCGAATGGATCTCCTCGTCATCAGCTCTCTGTGTGTTCTTAGCCTTTCCATCAATCCAAGCCAAAGCTGTCTCTGCAAAAGCCTTGAAAGAATCAGCCTTAGGTTCAAACCAGTTTTCTTGATCCAATTTTAAATCCTCTTCTGACATTTGTTGGAGCAGCTCCTTCACGTTTGTGTTCAAACCACAAAACTCTCCAAACAGTCTATTAAATTCTTTCATTAACTGGTTTGCTTCAGTTAAGCTGATATCATCTTCAGTTTCAATCAGCTGACGCACCTGATTCTGTGCCTGTTAACTTTGCTAACTTGGCTCTTCGTAAACCAATTGCACGCTGCAACTTTTCCTCCATAGCTTTAGGTGTGAGTTTTACTGCTCTAGTTTCCATTGTAGCCACGATATCTTCATTTTCAACGTCCATGACATTAAATATCCAAACAGCAACAGCAGAAAACTCCCTTTCTGATCCGAAAAGCTTGCAGATTGTGTCGAAGAGCACTTAGCATCCACAATGACTCGGCAGTTTTTTTTTTTTGCTGAAATGTTTACACTACTCACTTTTCTTCCAGCTTGATTTTGCTGCTTTAATCCGTCCACAGATGATAATTAATCCACAAAGCAGGTTTTTCAACGAAATGTGATGCCACAAGGTTTCTTTGCTATATCCACTCGCGTGTTTGTAGAGGAAAATAAAAACTTCCACAGCGCTCCGAAATAAGGATGCAAAACAAAAATTTATTCCACAGTTTTGTGAGATATCCTTTACAAGAGCAGTTGTATCTTATCTAACCTTCACAAACAACTACGGTTGAAAAACCGTGTGGCTCTGTAGATAAACTAGCAGCGCCTTTCTTTCTTGTTAACGCTACAGCGTCCACACCTCATTTGCATAAATTGCGAAATGGACACTTAAACTATAAACATACAACTTAAAATAAAACACTCATTGACAACAAAACATTACAAAATTAGCTACATGCAGTACTAATAATTCTTCCTAAACTTAAATAAATTCACTTATTAAATTACATATTAAACAAAATGTTTTAACAATAACTGAATATTACTTCACATTAACTTGGCCTCCACAGACGTTTTCCTTCAGAAAATTGACTGTGAAAAAAATCATGACACACTTTCCAGATTTTCATTTGTAAAACCATTTTCTTCCCACTTCAAAAGCAATTTGTTACTTTGTGTTGGTGTATCATATCAAAGTCAAATACAGTGTTATTGAATGACGCGTGACAAAATGTGAAAATGTTCAGGAGGTATGAATAGGTTGTCAAAGCCTGTGAATCAGGGGCCTCAAACTCCAGGCCTCGAGGGCCCCATGTCCTGCAACTTTTAGATGTGACTCTGCTGCACCTGAACAGAAAAATTAGGTCATTAGCAAGGCTCTGAAAAAAATGATCCAGACAAGGAGGAGATAATTAAGCCGTTTCATTCCAGCATTTTGTATGTGGCACATCTAAAAACTGCAGGCAGTGGCCCTCGAGGACTGGAGTTTGAGGCCCCTGCGTAGCTTGGAACATTCAGCAAGCTGGATAAGACAAAACTAAAAGTTTCATTCATCGACCCACATTAAGCTCCTAACAATGTCTCTTGCTTTCCTGGACAAAGTTAAACCATTCCTTCGTTTTACTGCAAAAATATTGGCGCCATAGTTCAACAGGAAAATAGAAAAACTACATTTCTGTCTATGATTGGTAGAAGCGGCTCCTGCTTTCGAAAAATGGCATTTACAAAACGCGCCAAGACACGAGCAGAAAATGGAAGATAGCCACACAAGTCTCAACCGAAAACTGAAAAATAGTTATTTTCTTTATTGTCTCATTATTGGGAAAAACTTCTTTCATCATTTCCTTGAGCAGTTCCACGAACAGTGAGAAGTTTACGTCAGCTCTGTAGCGTTCATCTCCATTGTCTTCACAATCACTGCAGATACAAGCCAAAGAACATGTAACGTGGCTACGCACATTTACAGGCAACATCCGGGGTCTTTGACCTCTGGGTTCACCCCAAAAACTGATGATGTGGCAAATAAGGAACGTTAAGCAAAAATTGGAGTTGTATCCAAAAACGTGTTGAAAATTCATTTGGCAGCAGAAAAACGCAGGAAAAATCTTTCAAGCTGAAACTGTTTCCTGTTTGTCGATATTTCACAAAATAAGGTGAAACAAGTTTCATTAAAAAATATATTATTAGTGTTACATATATAACATATAAGCCTTCTAGCAAGATTAGCTTAATGCAAAGTTCAAAACCAAGAGGAAACAGCTGCTTAGACTTTTGTTGTTTTTTACCAATTGCTAAATGTGCTAAGCTAACTGCTTCCCTGCTTAAGCCAGGTGGAATGAGGTAAAAACATCTTGAGGAACCTCATTTAATCTTAAATATAAAACCTGAAGCAAGTTGTTAGTCTAACCTAACAAAGAATGAAAACAGAAAAGCAGCAAAATGTATCCCTTCCTCCAATTTTCTAATTTTGCACTAAGCTAACTTGCTAATGTACACTGCACACGTTTAAAAAAAAATGATAAGTTTTGACAGATATTACAACCGCAAGTATCCAATTCAACACACAGACAACAACAAAAAAAAAAGAAAAAAAAAAGAGCAAACCACTTTTCTGTTTCAGGTCTGTATGCTAAGCTAGCTAACTGCCAGCTAACAGCCATTAAACCATAAATGTGATGTGAAGCGTTCATGTTGGCTAACTCAGTTCAAGGAGACCCGAGTATTTTTTTTTAAATATAAAAACCAACTCATTTATTTGTCACACAGTAAAATTTTAACATACTTCTTATGTGTCACATAATTCGGATTAGTCCTGGTATTAGTGCTGGTATCGAGGCAAACCAAGGTTTTTAAAAAGTTTCTGTTTCAAAATCTTCCATCATACCATCAGGACTTTCTCCATTCAAGAAAGCACTGGAGCGACCAGAATTTTCTCTGGTTGCGTCAAGCATAGAGTACAACGCTGCCCTTCCCCCACCTGTTGCTTGCACAATGCCACTGAGCTGGCTTGAAAAGCCTTTGAACTTTCCTCATGCTTACAAGACAGACAAATTTGGCTGAAATATTTTTTTTCCCCAATTATGAAGTGTTCACAAAAAATCCTGCCTTTGAAACTAAAGGGAGTTCCATCCATCACTCATAAAACTACCGTACAGTCGTAACCGGAGGCTAGCTAACCAAACACATATCCTGACTTATTAACCGGCTTGTTATGCAATATTCTCTTCTTAGCTACAACTAAATTCTGAGGCTGTTTCTTCCACATTTTTGCTGAAGATGGTGCGTCACAAAGCAGCAATAAATAAATATCAAACATAAATCAACGTCGTGAGAAATGAGAAACCAGTGGCAGGACTAACCTGGATGTGAGAATGAAACCAACCAGTGATCGATTAAAATAACGGTTCGCCTCTTCAATAAATGAACAGAAGCAATAAATATCTCCACCGTCCATCTTGAACGTGGCAGACTGGGACCAAATGTTAAGAATTATGGTAAAATATCATCTTGTAGGAGAGGGCGGGGAAGAGGTTCGTCGATAGGCCTCAACGGCTCACAGTCGGTAGCGGTGTGTAATGGCTCTGGGCAGCAATGCGAAGCTGTTTTGGCTTGCTCAGGAGAATTGTTTTCTTTATCTGTTGGCCTAAGCAGGTTGATCAGAGTCGCTCCAACCCTCAGTGAGCTCCACAAGGAAATTAACAACACACATTGCTGGTTTTATTCACATCAGGACAGAGTAGTAAGCAGTCAGAATATGGACCGTCACTCAGGTCTCAGACACATTAGAAGGACACTTGATTGGAACATTTTCCAGTTTTCCCCCACTGAAAGCTTTTTATGTTTCATGGCACTTCCCTCCCTGAGTCTTCATCTTCCTCGCTGTGTGGAAGCTGCTGAGTCAGCTTGCTCGCTCTCCGTCCACATCGCTCTTTTCCTCACTTGGCACGTCCACAGAAAAATGGCCGTCAAGTTCCTCTCCTTCCACTGACGGAGGCACGCTCTCAGAGGGTGATGTCACCGCTGAACCCTGAGGATGACGTCGCTCCGACTGCGTCAAGGAGCTGCTCTCCAGCGCGGGAGGCGACATGGGGGAAAACGGCCCCACGGGCGAGTAGCGTTTTAAGGAAACGCCCTTTAGGTTGACTGCGAGTTCCAGAACCAGTTTCTTTGATGGCCGGCGGGGGCAGGGAGGAGCAGCAGCCCCCTGAGGGCCGGCCGGGTCTGACTGGGGAACGCCGCCGACGGGCGATGGGGCCTCCGAGTCGGAACTGTTCACAGAGTGCGGGGACAGCGGTGACGCGGGGCTCTCGGGCGCGCTAGCCTGGAGGTCGACTGCAGCCGAGCACGAGCCTCCATCTTCAGCCACGTCTTGCACTGCAGCTCCTGGCCCCAGGGAGCCCTCCTCCCTCACGGCGTGGTAGCTCTGGAGCCCCAGCGTGACCTGCGCGGGTTCAGCACGGTCCAGCAGGGCGGCGTGGCCCCTGGCTCGACCCGCGGGGCGGAACAGCCGGCTCCACAGTTGGCCGAGGCGCCGGCGGGAGGAGGAAGAGGTGGAGCGGCGGGTGGAGTGACGCCTGATCTGCCTGCGCATCGCCAGCCGCAGGTTCTGGAGCATCGACGCCTGAATGCAGGGGGGAACGGAAATGAAGGTCATGTCTGGTGCTGTGTCACCGTACATTTCCTCGATGCAGAGCCCATATGGCGTTACCTGGGTGGGGTTGTAGGCTGGGAAATCCTCCACCGGGGGGATGAGACCCTGGGCTATCAGCTGGCCGTAGGAAGGGGGGGCTTCCCTCTGAACAAACTCTGCCTCCATGCGAGTCATCTGAGTCTCAAAGGCTCTGCAATTAGAGCAGCAGTGAGAAACGAGACAACCTGTGTTATATTTAATTATTATCATTGTTTATTTCCACCAGCTCCAGTTAAAAGTATTAGACTCAATCAGGTATTCCTGTGTATCACAGCTTCTGCCAAGAAGAAAACATGTTGTACTAAAAAATAAATAAAGACAAAAGCATCAACACTGATGCTATTCCTTGCATCAGTATTCGTTCCCTTTGACCTTTTCCTCACTTTGGTTGATTACGACCACATAGGTCAGCACATGTTTGTTGAAATGTTATGTGTCAAAAAGAAGAGTCAACGAAGAAATGTTTTAACACATTAGATTATCTAATGCATGCATCCAGTGGTGACCTCAGAAAATCAGATAAAAAAAAGTCTTATGCAATGAAGACATAAATTTAAAACCCAATAAACAAATAATTTGAGATCATTTTCAACAAATGTACTGATAACATAATGCAACCCTTCCGAAGATCAATAAACTTTGATTTCTAAAGGACATTTAACACTGGAACTGGAAGACATTTTAAATATCCTAAATAAACAAACAACGACACATAAAATGGACACTGAAATCTGTAAACAAAATGTACCATTCAAAAAAACACAAAGGGCGAGTTGAGACCAAAGCACCAGACAGTGTTTGGTAGAAAACAAACCATCGTGCAAATGGAAATTATTGAGCTACTTTTAACGTATCACGCAATTAATCGATTCACTGCGTAGGATTGCGATATCTCTCACCGGTACTCCCGGTTCCTCAGCGAGTGCAGCTTGAGCGCGCAGCCGAGAGCGATGACCAGCAGCAGGCTGCAGACCAGGCTGCCGATGAGCGCCGCCGTGATCACCTTGCGGGGCACGGCGGCCAGGCAGTCCCGCTCGTCGCTGCCGTCCAGGCAGTCCTCCTGGCCGTCGCAGCGCCACGTCTCGAAGATGCACAGGTTGGTGCCGCAGTGGAAGTTTCCGGGTTGGCAGTCGAAGCAGTTCTTCTCGTCCGAGCCGTCCGGACACCTCTTCTGGTTGTTGCAGCGCTCGGACGCCGCGTAGCACGCGCCTCCGCCTCCCTCGCACGGGAACTCCCCGTCCGGGCACGCGGCGCAGGCCTCCTCGTCGCGGCCCGACGGGCAGTGCCAGTAGCCGTCGCAGCGCTGGTGCTCGGAGTAGCAGCCCTGCTCGCTGCCGCACGGGTGCTCTCCGGGAAAACAGTAACCTTTGACCTTTGAGGCAGAGGAAAGGACACGACGTGGAATAAATGTATAGACTTTGCTTGTCTACGCAGAAACAGGTCGTCATGACAACTGTGGCCCCAGAAAAATGTCCTAGGGGTGATGACACAGATATATATGAATATAACTTTATGTATTTATTCCATAACGTAATAGATTATTATACTGTGGAAGTTATATTTAAAATGCTGAAACATTTACATAAAAGATTTATTAAGAAAGATAATATAAAGTATAAGATTATGACTTGGGAGCATGAGAGATTTAAAAAAATAAAACAACGAAACAAACAAATCTAATTATTTGACTTTTGAGAGAAGGGGTTAGATTATGTATCAAAATCCAAATGTTGTTCATATCAACACGTGACATGCCCATTTTAAACTGTAAAGGGCATGAAATAAATGAATACATTTATTCAGTTGGCCCCCACTGGTTTGTTTTCTACTGTGTCATGGAGCTTAGGAAGGTGGAAGCACCTGGTAGGTGGCGTTAAAGCCTCGCCCCGGGCTGTGAGGCTGCGCCATGTACAGGACACTCATCTGGCCCCGGCTGGACTCCAGCAGCGCCGGCCTCTGGTTGTTGTGATGCGACAGCACCTGCAAGAGATGCTCCGCCCGCTGCAGCAGGCCGTCGTAAACGTGGAGGGAGTCCCCGGGCCCCAGCTGCAGGTCCAGCTGCAGCATGATGGGCTTGGGGTCCTGGGTGTCCAGCAGCCAGGAGCACCTCAGCTCGGTCACGGAGCTCCGGTCGGCGTGGAAGAAGTCCGGCGAGGCAAAGGAGCCATAGAAGTTCCCCAGCCGCTTGCCGCAGGCGGTGTCCGGACAGCGCAGCTCGTCGCTCCCGTCGCGGCAGTCTCGGTCCCCGTTGCAGCGGAGCGCCGCGGGCAGGCAGCGGGTGGTCTGGGCCTCGGTGCACGGCAGGGAGCCCGGGGGGCAGAGGCTGGGGAGGGGCTCGGTGGGAGGCGGGAAGCAGCCGTGTTCATCTGTCGCGTCGCCGCATTCGTCCTGGGCGTTGCACTTCCAGGAGCGAGGAAGACACTTCCCGTTCCCGCACAGGAACTCGTCTGACTGGCAGCTGCTCTGACCGAGGTGACCTGCAGAGTTCAGTTTTATATTTCACCCAAAAGCTAAGGTTTGGCCTCAGCATATGCATCGAACCAGGACCCGGTTTGATGCTATGAAGCTTACCGGAAATTTGCTTACCGTAAACAAACATTCTCCTCCTGAAGAACCAAAACCGACTAAAAACTACAAGCAGATAACTCTAAAACAGAAAATCAACACTGAAGTTGACAACTTCTGATTCTGTTTGGTGGGTGGTTCAGTAGAAAGAAAAAAAATATGGATGGAATCCAAGTAAACGAGAGAAAGCTCAGAGTGTCTGCAAAGTGAGATTTTAATCTGTGGAATTCACAGGAAGCCAGTGAACAGGTCAGTGTGTAAATCAGTGTCAGCATTAGGACTGAAACAATTAATCAGATTAATCGCGATGAATTGCTTACTGAAATAATCGTCGACTAATACAGTAACTGATTAATCCTTAACTTGAGCATAAACACAAAAAAGGCCACTTGAAACCAGAACTCTTGAAGCGGCATTTAGCTTGTTATTTCATTTTTTTTACTCTATTAATCGATTAATCATCAGAATGACTGATAGATTCCTCAAATAATCGCTAGTGGCAGAAAGACACGTCAAAACATTATTTATTTCCTCAGAAAAACATGCAGCGCCGTCCTTCTAGTTTACACTCACTTTTTATCGCATAAAATCCCAATGAAACGCATTCAAGTTTCTGTTGTCATGTCTGACTGTGAAGTGAAATATTTTGTGGAGTATAATGTTTTTTTAATACATTATTATTATTATTATTATTATTTGCAAACCGGAGCGCAGAGAAAGTGTTCCCTTCTCACCTCTGATGTAAGAGAGCCGGAAGCCCTGCGCCTGGCCCGCGCTGTTGCTTCCAGAGTGGAAGTAGAGCCAAACGCGCCCTCTGGTGGAAATAAAAGGAGGGGGCAGCACGGAGCCGCAGAGCCTGGACTCGCCGCTGCGCGTGGGCGTCATCAGCAGCCAGTCCGCCGAGCATCCTCCCGACTCCATGAGGTCAAAGTTACGGAAGCTGGAGCCCAGGACGGATCGTGTCGGTGTTTTGTTTTTTTCTTTTTTTATCTTTTATTTTGCAGGAAGAAAGGAAACATGCGCAGCAGCGACCCTACCTGATGGTGATCACTTCCCCCGGACTCCCCTGGATGTGCCAGCTGCAGTTGAGGCCAGGCGGGTAGTTCAAGGGCCAGGCCGGGCTGTAGAGGACCCCCCTCCGCTCCGTGTGGACCTCCACCTGCTCCGTGCAGGCCGCTGCAACACACCAACACTCTGGACCATAACCATAAGCAGCAAACCATAATATAATACAATACATATCACATGGTGCTTTTTCACTCCCATAAATGCCTTTGAAAATGAATTGTAAAATAGATTTTCTAATGAAGCAAAACGTCCTGCATGTGATCTAATTTGAAATTTAAAATATATGATAAGGATTAATAAAAAAGAGTAGCATAAATATGGGAAAAAAATGCATTTGAAACTGTCCTGATTCAATAATTTTATAGTTTTACATCAAACATTAGGAATAAAAGCCTAAACTATTATTTTTAATTTGCCATTTCTCTGTGACTGCTGCTTTACCCCGTCCATGCTTTACACACCTTTTTTTAAAAAAAAGATCTATATTTTTGTTGAAACACATTTTAGTCGCTGTAAACACCTAAACACCTGCATTTTATGATTTAATATAACATACAAGCCAAAGTCTGACCAAAATAAACAGAATTTTCTTTTAAACGTAATCCAGTAAATAGATTTACATTTTAAGCAAACTCACCGAAGAAAATAATTTCTGTGACACTAATGTGCTCAGACGTGCCTACAAATATTTGCAACTAAACATTTTGACATTTTAAAAACCAACATGATCTTACATAATTTGGGGACTGCTGATTAAACGCAGCAAAAAAAAAAAAAAGTATTTTTGTTCTAGTTTCTAGTGCAAACATCTCAGTACACTTTAAATAAGACAAAACTGATTTACATGAAACTTTTCAGCAGGACAAAGCAGCTTGTTTTAAATCATATCTTAATTTTGATGTAAAAAAATAAATCACTGGCAGATTATTTCTCCTGTAGCAGAAAAAACGTCTTGCAAGTGGAATAATATGCAAAATTTTTAATCACTATTAAAGGATTGTTGACTTGAAACCAGTTAGTTTCAAGATATTCACACCAGAAGCAAAACCAAAAACACTTTGGTAAGATTGTTGTTATGGTTTTAGTCTCTTGCAGTGACTGTAGACCCAAAGAGATCCAGATGGAGCTTAAGCGGCAACCAAGGCAACGGCATCTCTGTCGCCGAGCAACGGCGCCGCCAGAGTGAGGCGCTGAGCGTCAGCAGCCGCACTCTGGGATCCCGATGCTCCTGCAGCAAACAAGACGCCTCAGGATCCACCCTGAAAACCTCCCTCCATCAGGTCTTCAAGGTCAGGGTTAGGGTGATGACCCACCACTTTAAAGTCAACTTCTGTTTTTCTTCAAAATAAGAGCGAAACGTCTGGAGCGGCACGTAGAGCTGATGTTGGCCGATCTGAAAACTCATCCTGCTAAAAGCTCGAGATGTTGATCGGAGAATATTTATGTCTGTGATAAAAGACACCCAGAGACGGACTGGGTTCTGCTGAGGGTGTGTGAGCTTGTTTTTAAAGCCTTTCACACTTGATCAGCAGCAGAGTGAAGCAAGAGGAGTGTGTGTGTGTGTGTGTGTGGTGTCATTAAAAGCAAGTGATGGATATCGACTAACATGACGTCTTTGGCCGCGGACCCAGCAGGGCTGCAGAATGTTTCTGCTCCCTCTGTCAGCTTCAGCAGCAAACGCCTCACACTGACCAACCGACCTGCAGAGCGGCGGAAGGAGGAGGATTTGGAGCTCGCTTTGCAACGGCGTAGTCAAAGTCCGGACCGGAAGCAGGAATGAAAAAAATAAATAAAAACTTTGTGGTGATAAAATTCTAATATTCTTCATAACCTAAAAGTATCACACATTTCTTTTTTACGCATTTTGGCCTTGAAGTACAGTTTGTTGCTTGCAAACAGTTTATCTTTTTTAATCTTTTTTGATCATAGTTACGAATGCATTTATTTACATTCGTAACTATGTTTGTTTCCTAAGTGGAGAGCCCTACGGTGGAGGTGTTTTTATTTTTAATAATCCAGTCACACTTTTTCCCCCAACGCAGCGTGAGCACACAGTCATAACCAGCACACATTTAGTGGAGTTTGGTGACATCGAGCCACTCCAAAAAACCGGAGAATCGGCTTAAACCTGGATTTAAATCACAACATGGTCATGTCAGGGTCAGGGTCGGGATAAAAGTGAGCCCAACAACCCAAAACAACTACACTAGCTGTGAGGCATAGTGGTGGCTGCATTATGCTCAGGGTCAGGCCGGTTTTGGGTTTGATGAAGCAGGCTGATTACTGGCCAGCCGCAGATTCCAACTTCGCGATTCTGTTGCTACATTTAGTGACTTTTCAGACAAGAACAACAAGATAAAACCCTCAGCAAAAATCGGCCTTTTAAGAAAAAGGTCCGGTTGGTGCAGCCCGACTCTATTGAAACTTTAACTGTGCTTTAAAAAAATAAAAAAATAGATCTGAACTTGTGCCGCCAACTCTAGTTTCCAGCAATTCCAACTGTGTCTTCTCAATTCAGTTTAAATCATCATTAAAGTCCCATAAATGAAGGCGATGATGATGATGATGATGATGATGATGATGATGATGATGATGATGATGATGATGATGATGATGATGATGATGAGTGTCTGCATTCGTCTGTCTGCATTTGGGAAGGTGTGCGAATCACTTGTCTCAGTGTCACACACAGACCTCTAAAGAGCATGTGTTGCAGCTTCAGCATCAACTCTATTGTCAATCCATTAAGGTGCAGAGACACAGAGAGGAGGAGGAGGAGGAGGAGGAAGAGCGGGGCTGCAGAGAGAGGCAGTGATGTAATGCTGATAGCAGCATCACATTTGTGAAAGAGCATCCATGTTTCTACACTCGCCCTGATCATTTAGCCACCACAGATCAATGCTCTGAGCAGGATGACTGACACGCTGCTTCCTCCTCCAGATCACAACATGAAAACCTCTGAAGGCTCAGCAGGAACAATGCTGCCCCGGGTTTATTCGGGTTTATTCGGGTGTGATTAGTGAGAAACACATCAGAAGCGATTAAAAGCTAAAACTCAGGTTCATTGAATGTGAGGAACACAGGTATAAAAACATGGGTTCTGCGCTGATGGATGGAGGGATGGATGGAGGGATTGTTGTTTTCTCACCTGCACAGAGCGGGGCGCAGCGGCACCACAGCAGTCCGATCAGCGGCAGCAGCAGCAGCGGCGGCGGCGGCGGAGGCGGGGGCGGCGGCTGTTTCGGCCCCATGGTCCGCTCAGGATCCGGGGCTCCGCATCTGGGACGCAGCGAGGCTCCAGCATCTGCTGTCAGCTCCGACACGCCGCCGGCGGCTCCGCGCAGGAAACGTGCATTGTGTCCTTTGCAGTCGGAGCAAAGCAGGCAGACGGCGTAAGACACGCGGCTTCCGGTTTGACTCTTCAAAATAAAAGCAACACTGGAGGGGAGGGAATATATTTCAACTTTTCAAATTAAGAGGCTGGATCATGGTGTTCTAACGCTGACGCTTTATTACTTTTTTTTATTTTAATGTAACTTCATCATACCTTGTTAAACTTTCCACATTTGTTCACTTTCCTTTATTTTATTTTATTTTTATTTATGTTTTTTTGTTGCAATTTTCGATAAATCATAATTTTCACAATGGTGTAAACAGCTGTTATTTTAAATTTTTATTTTTCTCCTTTTTTAGCTTTACATCATGGTGTAAAAAAAGTACTTTAAAGTTTGTTGTAAAATGACAAACGTGTGAGAGATGAATGTTAATACTTTTGCAAGGTCACTGTATCAATGCTGTATAAATGCATTGTTTTTATGTGATCGTTTATTGTAAATAACCAGTTCACAAATAAATAGTGTACTTCTTTTTTTTAAAAAAGCAACAGGGTATTAACATTCTGAAAATGAATTCATGCTCATTTAAATCGAGTGAAATCTGATTGCTTTTTTAACAGCATAAAATTTCAAACATATAATTAAATATAAATACTTATTCAGATATAGGCCTACTAAAATGCACTTACTCTTTGTCTGATTAAGGGCGGATTCATGTTGACAGTTTTGGCCCTCTCTACTTCCCCTACTGGTGTTTAAAGGTTACTGCATGTAGTGTTTTAGTCCTCCAGAAGATGGCGATGTTTGCCACTCCCTTTTAAAAGCAGCCAAGCCTGGTTCAGCACAAAACCGATCACAATTTTCCTTCGCAAATCAGCACGTTATCCACACACCGGACGCCTGAGCCGCAGACGCTCAAACCTGCTGATTCTGCCTTCCGCACAAAAAGTAGTAGAAATCTTTTATACAAGATGTGCAAGGCACATTTCTTGGATTATCTTTCTGCAAAATATTCAAACTATGGTTCTTCTGAAATAGATTTGAATTATTTCGGCATTTTTGTTTTATATTTTTAAAGGACGTAGAAAGATAAGATAATTAGGACAAAAGGCACCGCTGGGATTCGAACCCAGGATCTCCTGTTTACTAGACAGGCGCTTTAACCAACTAAGCCACGGCGCCGCTGATGTCACCATGGGAAACAGCGTTTATAACTATTGGAAATGTAAAAGTACTGCTCTGTTCATAATCAGTAATGTGAGTTTGTCTTATATTAGACATAGCCACTTGCTTTTGAAATTACATTTTCCTCGGCAAGTAGTTAGTAACCATGGACTGCAATCAAGGCTGCAGATGTAGAGCAGGGGAATCCAGTGTGCCAGATGAACTTTTAGGGCAATATTTTGTGAACAGATGAAGTTTTAAAAAACAGATTCCCATTTATTAAAGTTCTTGCATTTGTATTAATTTTGGAGCAACTAGAATCACAATTATTTACCTACTTTTACTTAAAAGCAAATCTCATAGCAAAAATAAGAATATAAACTCACAACATGTAGCAACTGTGTCTTATACTAATGTAATGATTGTAATGATTGTTTTGCATAAAAATCAGACTATTTCAATTGAAATAAAATTGTCATTTTTCGTCAAGTTTATTACTGAGCAGATGACACAAAAAAGCCACAAAGGTTTGTTTTAAAAATGTCATTAAAAAAAATACATATATGAACAGTTGTTGTGGCCAAATCATGTGATTTCAACTTAACGGTTTTGACCATGACAGCAAAACATTTGGACCCGGCTTGAAGTATGGAGACAGACTGTGAGGAATTATGTCATCAGCTCCAATGTTTTATCAAGTCCAGTCAGAACCGTGTCCATCTGGACACTTTGGATCAATCACTCCATGCTTCCTTCTGCTGATGAACTTCATGGCGATTATCTCTTTTTTTTGTTGTTGTTTTTTTTAAATCAAGGCTTAAAAACAACCAACAAACTCAGCTCACTTATAAACACCTACATATTTCCAGCAGGCTGATTTGTCTGTATTCAGATTTTTTGCAGTTGTTATTGGTCATAACGATTTGTGTTAATCTTGTTCAAAATGAAGAGTCCAATGGAAATTCATCACTAGGCGAGTTTCCACTAGAAACGTGCTCAACACCTTAAAATTCCACTAAACCGTGATGACCTTCAACTACTTCCCGTCTTCTTCTTCACGGTTTGCGTCTGATCATGTGACTCGTGTTATGTGAAAAAACATAAAACAAAAAACCGCAAAACATTTATCAAAAAACTTGTTTTTTTCACATTTGCTGTGTTCCCGTTAACTTCACACTCAGATTCATCACTCAGTAATCAATATTAATTTATAATTGTGTAAGGAATCCATGAGGATTCATTGAAATGAATCGATTCAGTGATGTTGGTGTGGATACTCCAGAGACTCATACATCTGCTTTAATGCTCCAGAAATTATAATAGACAAGAATTGAGTTCAAAGAGTAAAGAATGATTAAAGAAATAAATCTTTGACGAGCTGCAAAGAACGTCATCTTATTTTTCAAAAAACAATGACGAATGGCACCATAGTTTGTATTTCAACAGTTTATTCAACAACTTCATAGACATTTCTTAAGAAGACTGCTGCTTTATTTTGTTTGGTAAGTGCAAGAACCAAAGCTTTTTACATGCAAATGGTCTCAGCACAGAAACAGACAATAGCTTGTTTTATTCTTCCCCGTTTCACTGATGATTTTTATTTTTTTATTTTTCTTAAAAATCACAGCTCAAACTGTGGTGGCTGATGAAGCTTACCAACAACCACCGCAATGATATACACAACCAAATTTCTCATTGAATTAAAATGTAAAAAGAAAGAAAACATAAAAATCCTACAAACGAAAACAACAAGGTAAAAATCAGAAACAAAGTTCTACAAATGTCGCCAAGTGGATGAGTCTGTGAATCAATGAGAAATAATCTTTATGTCACACTGCTCAGCTGCTTTTTGTCTGTGTGGACATTGGTTAGTTCTTAAATTAATGTAAATACTATGAAACAAAATAATATATATGTATATATATATATGCAAGTCACAAACTCTGCAACTGAGAAGCGTTTTGTTTCTTCTTTCCTCCCATCAGATGAGAGGATCTGACTTGAACAGAGGAGGAAGAGGACAGGAAGGGGAAGTGAGCGGGGGACAAACTTATTTCCACAAATCTTCGTTCATATCTAGGTGCGGTGTGATATTCAGAGTTCCTCAGACAAAGATCGGACGATTTGAGCTCTGGGGAGAGTGATGTTAGGGAACAGTTACAAGGTGCAGCCGTGTTCTGGATCTGTGTCTGTGGGAACTGCCTGGACGTTTCTTGGCTCCTTGTTTACTCTGCAACTTGCAGAACGGGGGTGTTTGGGGTTTTATGCATATGTATATATATGGAGAGAGAGAGACTTCTTTTTTATATATATATATGTATTGTGTGTATGTCTGAGAAGCCGGATGGAGATTACTGGTGGGCACATTGCACGCCCTGCCCGTGGTGGCCGCTCTCGTCATCAGAGCTGTCGTTGTACGCCTCCCTGCGGCCGCCGGACGACGAGCCCTGGCTGGCGTCGTAGTCCTGCAGGTCCACCTCCTCCATTTCCCCGGTGATGATGGGGGGCTCCGACCGCGACGGCAGCATGTCCTCCAGCTCCTGTGATGAGGAAAACGGGCGGTAAATACAGAGAGAATAGATGAGCAGAGCAGGACTGTTTATTCAATATACAACAGCTGGGAGACAGCTTGGTGCTCCACTGCCACCTTGTGGTGGTCCTTCATTAGGACACCTTACAGAACAAGACTTACTAAAAGGACAGTTACAGGAACTATTACGTGTCATAATTCAGCAATTATTACTCAGTTATTTCCAGCTTATTGTGTTGACAGTAACAACTATCATTGTGGCCCAAAAAGACTAAAATAAACTAAGTCAGAAATTAATATTTTCTATCAGAACTAATATTTGGATAAGTTTTGTTCAGCTGTTGATTCGTGTCGGAGAAATAAAGGAGCTGTAAAAGAAAATGAGACGAGGCTTTTCTAAAACTAAAAAAATTAAAAAGCAGAGATGACGCGTTAACAGAGGTTCTTGTCCTACCACCAGCTTCTCTGGGCTGATCCAGTTGTTTTCAGGAAACTGGACATCAAACTTGATGAACAAATCTCCTTTCTCAAACGGGTTTCGGTACTGTGGCATGCCCTCTCCCCGCACCACCCTGACCGAGCCTGGAAACAACAAGATTGATAATATTAGCCACACCGCCCAGGAAATGCATGCTGCTCCTCCGAAGGGCCACTAGTAATAGGTGTTGGGGCAACAGTGGAGAGGAAAACTAAAGGAAGAGAAAACTTCTGCCAAAGAAGTCAGAAATTTTAGATTCATCTCAGACATTTTATAGAAAAAAATCAAATAAATGATGTCCAAGTTTCAAAAGTTTAAAATTTGCCAGAAAAACAAACAAACTGAAATCTCAGAAATTCAAAAAAAGAAAAAAAATGTTGACTTTCGAAACTCAAATCTTCCAAAAGTTGAAAACTTGACCTTTGAAATCTCAGTAATGTTCTTGTTTTTGGAAGAATTTCTTTTTGATTAATCTCAAAATTTCACTTTTCTTTTCTAGAAAACTGTTGACTTTTGAAAGTCAGAAATGTTCAAGTTTTTGGCAGAAATTTACTCTGTTTTTAATCTACAATGGCTCTAATACACTAATGGCAGAATTACTGAAAACGATGATACGTTATTACAAGACGATGCAACTCATGTCTTCACTTATAACTGCTTTGTTTGAAGCAACATTTAGTCCTTCAACACAGCATCAAACATTTCAAACACAACTAGAGAACCAGAGAAGAAGAAATCTGACCTGGTTCAATGACTTTCCCTGCAGGATACTTGACAACAATCTGTCTCCCGTCTAAATGCTTCAGCATGAACTGGAAGCCGCACAGCGCCTCCACCAGGCCGATCTTATGGGTCATATAGAGGTCGTTTCCTTCTCGCCTGAACGTCTAAAATGGAGAGAAGATGGAGATGATGTGAAGACCACAGAGACCAGTTCTGATCTGGACTGGTTCCCTGTGACAGTGGTAG